GGTCATGTCTGTGTGATGATGTCAATTCTCACCTGTTTCTTTAAATATTTATGTGAATGAGGCGGATTAGGTCGGAAGGATGTGGAGGAAGAAGTCATGAGGAGGTCAGGATGAGGAGGTCAGGAGGAGGAGGAGCACAGATACGGTTCTCCTTTGTGCGCGCTGCAGCAGCAAGTCCGTGTTCCAACTATATAAACTCCACGCTTTTGATCAAAGTCCAAAGAGATCCTGGTCAGACCTAGTTCAGTCCTAATTCAGTCCTGGTTCAGTCCTGGTCTAGACCTGTTTCAGACCTGGTTCAGACCTGGTTCAGACCTGGTTCAGACCTGGTCAGTCCTGGTTCAGACCTGGTTTAACTTTTGGACTGCTGAGACGCGCGTTCTCTGTTTTAAATCAGCGCGTGCCGCGCTCCCGTCCGGTCTAAATTACGCGCTCTGACTGTGAGGCGCGCAGTATAGTCCGACAGCTCCCCCCGAGAGGACAACATTGACATCACTCTGTTGGACTAACCTGTGGTGAAGGTGGGACTGAAGCTACAGACCCCAGCTTTATGCTCAGACTTTTGAGCATCTTTCCTCTCGTCTCTCATTCACAGAATCAGTGTAAGGGGACCTGGGATCGGACCCAATCTGGACCAAGACCAGGACCAGCAAGAATTTAGCCTTCTTCAGTCCTGCTTTAGTCCTGCTTTAGTCCTGGTCTAGCTGTCTTGCTTCAGATTTATTGGATCTGTCAGAACATAGACAGCTCTCAGCCCCCTCCCTTCTGTCTCAATGCTTTCTTTCAACAATGTTGAAGGTGACGAGTTTCATTTGCAACTAATCCTCTTAAAGCAACTCCTGTTGTGCTGAGGCATCAATACAAACCTGCTCCAGACCTGTTCCAGTCCTGGTTCAGACCTGGTCTTGGTCATTCAGTCGTCTGTGCTGTGTGGTACTCTCTCCTTGTGAGTCCTTTTTTAGACCTTTTTACTCTCTCCTTGTGAACTGTGATCCAAATCCAGCTCTCTGGAAGGTTTCTCCTACAGTACTCTCATCCTTGTGAACGGACCTAACGCTGCAGAAGTTCACCCAGAACCGGAGCAGGACCACCCAGACCTGGTTCCTGGTGCTGGACCAGGTCCAGTACCGCGTGGTCTTTGGTAAAACTTTACTGAAATACTTTCAAAAGCTGTGACATCACAAATACATGATGTGAAACTAGTGACAGAAGCAACTGTTTCAGAGAGATGGGTTTAATACAGAGTTCTATTCGTCTGAGAGTTACAGACCCCAGCTTTAAAGTTACAGATCCCAGCTTTAAAATAATGTACTCAAACTTTAATGGGAAAAGCTAGGGCTATCATTCACATACATTAGACTCTCGTGTTGTGTTCCAGAGAAGGACACACTGGACGTCTGGTGTAACGGTCAGAAGATGCTCTCAAACGTACGAGCTTTCATTTGTTATTTACATGTTTTGATATTTTGAGATACTCTATTATATTATACTCTCTCTCTGGTCTTTGTCTGGTCTCTGTCTGGTCTCTCTCTGGGTCTGTCTGGTCTCTCTCTAGTCTCTCTCTGGTCTCTCTCTGGTCTCTCTCTGGTCTCTCTCTGGTCTCTCTCTGGCCTCTCTCTGGCCTCTCTCTGGCCTCTCACTGGTCTCTCTGGTCTCTCTGGACTCTCTCTGTTCTCTCTCTTGCCTTACTTTGGTCTCTCGCTCTGGTCTCTCTCTTTTCAGTCTGAGTTTGTGGAGGACGGTTCGCAGACACGGTTTGTAATCGGAGAACATGAGATCGTGCTGAAGGCCTTCACAGAGCAGCAGCAGCAGAAGGGGAGGAGAGGAATCATATACTGCCTCCTGGTGGACGGAGCTGTTATCTGCAGCTGAGTCTCATGTGGAAGGGGAGAACATCCAGTTGTGTTTGAGTCTCCATCCCTCTGTGTATTACTCTTTATATTGAGTATTTCTGTTGGAGAAACACATGTTATATATGAACCTATATACAATCCTTACTTTTACCTGTATTAGATAATATCATTCGTTATTCAAGATTTTTTAACATTTTCTTTATTGATCTATGTTCAAATAAAGTGTATTTTTATACTGTTTTGTGTAAATCTGAGTTTGTGGTTTGTTGCTGTAGTGTGTGTGTTCAGCCACAGGGGGCGCCACACTGCAACAAGAGGATAGAGTGAGGACCTGCAGTCCCGTTTCCACCAGCTCTACTCTACTCTGCTCTACTGTGGTCTACTCTACTCTACACTACTTAAACATGTGTTGTTTGAGACTAAAGTTACAGACCCCAGTTTTAAAAATGTGTTATTTATTAGACTAAAGTTCCAGACCCCCAGCTTTACTAAAACAGTTAGAAAGTAGATAAATAAATACAACAAGATACAGTTGAAAATTTCGTGATTTTTTTTTTTTTTTTTGCATTTTATTCTAACACTGTTTCAGAAGAACGGAATCGTTTGGCCCCATTAAAAACATTATTTTGAGTTCTGTCTATAGATGTACTATCCCTAAATACAACTCAAATATAAAACTCTTAATTCTGAATGTGTTAATTATTATCTAAAAATAGTATTTATAATTAATAGACGGGGTATCGAGTATTTTGTCCAAGTATCTAGTGACAGGACCTGCCAGGGACCTCCACAGCAGCGGACCACGGGCTCAGCTGTAGCCGCCCACCGAGCTCCTCATCCCGGCTGGAACAACGCACTGAGGCGTTGGACCTGGAACTCTGCTTCGAACTCATCTTTTTCACCACAACTGGATCGATTCCCTGTGGATGTACACTAGTGCACTCTCCCTGCTCATTGCTGGGATTTTACAGCGCTATTTAACCTTTAAAAACATTAAAAACGAGTTATTTCTTCCCGTTATCCGGCTAATTCAGTTACTAAGCAACAAGGCCTTTAGCCGCTAACGCTAGCTGTTAGCATTGACTTCCATGATCCGAGCGGCTCCAAGCTCTGAGCTTACCCCAGGAGGAGCTGTGCTTTTCGGACAATAGCGACGTCTTTTCCATGGGGATAACACTACACCAAAAAGACAAAAGGATTAAATATCTCGATTACTAGCGCACATAACTATCCAGCCTGTGTGTTTTTAAAAGGCTGCTTTATGGACAAAAGTTTCACCATTTTTTCTTCTTAGCATTAGCATTAGCTCGCTGTTTACATCTCGTATTTGTGGATTTGTGGGATCTTAAGTTGGATTTCAAACGCGATCGTGGATGTTTGGAGTCGGGAATGACATGGGTTAACGGTGTAAGGTTTTCCCCACATCCGTGACACCGCAGTGGGACACAGGGACGCTTCCCCGGGGAGAGGCTGCCTTTCTCCGGGCACAATCTGCAGCAGCCCTCGCTCTCCTGGAGACATGCCTTTCGGATGGAATTATTTAAACACGATATAATCACGTCATTACTGCAATCATGTTCGGCTGGACTTGTGTCTAACTCGGGCTGTAGACCTATTGTTCGCGGGGACCACGGTATATTAAAATATCAATAGCAGACGTGCAGGGAGTGAATAGTGAGGTTTACCTGGTTTTTTATGATAAAAACAGATTTAGCTGCAGTTATAAGCTTCGACATTGTCATTAGTGTGGTCTGCTGTCTATCTGTCAGCACACTTCATATTAAAGACACTTTTATTATATCATCTCCCCACTGTGGGACGAATAAAGGTTCTCTTATCTCTATTTTGTAGCTCTTTCACAGATTATAGCTTGGTTGAAAATAATATCTGCAGTGTTTGTCTCGTGGTTCTTATATGAACATTATGAAGTTTTGTATTCATAACTAAGCTAATTTTCTCATTCATTTTATTATACAATATTTTGAATGAGCCTTTCCAACCAAAACAATGATCTGTTGTAGTATCCTTGGACTGGTCGTGAGCGTACAAATAAAAAGCTAAAATAAATTGAAACTCAGTCATTTTAACTGCAGAATAGCCTTTGAGTAGCTTCTCCTATCCAAACAATGGTGGTAGTGTAGTATTCCATAGCCAGGGCATGCTTAGCTTGTCCCCGTGTGTTCCCAGCGGTCTACAGCCCTAGTTCCTGTGGGCCCTATCTGCTTTCGGGACGCAGACATGAACTACCAACAGCACTTGGCCACCTCGGCTGCCATCCGCGGGGAGATTCAGCGCTTCGAGTCGGTGCATCCCAACATCTACTCCATCTACGAGCTGCTGGAGCGTGTGGAGGAGCCCGCCCTGCAGAACCAGATCCGAGAGCATGTCATCGCCATAGAAGGTGGGTCATACGGTTTTCCATCACACCACTGCCTGGTACCACGCCTGCTTAGCGGTCTGACCAGGCTTTCCTGGTCAAGCCAAGTCAGTGTGACTTGGCTTGTGCTTGTTCTTCTGGTTTCACTGGCTGTAGTTTAAAGCTGGGGGACGTAACTTTAGTCTCATAATTAACACATGTTTTACATGCTGTCTTCATCTTCAGTGTCAGGAAGAGTCCTGTGAGTCATTATCTGCCTCTTTGGGCTCACAGCTGATTGGCTGAAGGAGGGAGGCCCTCTCTTTGATCTAAATATCTGGCATCACCAATCACAAATACTTGATGTGAAACTAGTGACAGAAGCAACTGTTTTAAGAGCCAGAGCTAAAGACATGGGTTTAGAACAGAGTTCTGTTGGTCTGAGAGTTACAGACCCCAGCTTTAAAGTTACTTATGGATCGGTTCTGAAGTGGTTGTTCGAGGTGTGTTCCCGTCTTTACATTTGAATGATGTCCTTGTCCTTTTGAAGTCTCACACACATCAATAATTTAATAAATAAATGTGTAATTGGGTCAAAGCTGCGTCTCCCAGAATCCTCTGCTGCGGTGATTCATGTCGACTAAATCAGAGGCTTTTAGGAGAGCGAGACCAGAGCGTGACCAGAGCGAGACCAGAGCGAGACCAGAGCGAGACCAGAGCGAGACCAGAGCGAGACCAGAGCGAGACCAGAGCGAGACCAGAGCAAGACCAGAGCGAGACCGATCACAGATACAGGTCTTCAGTGTGTTATGCATCATATTTATCCACTGAGTCTCTGTGTGAAGGAGAGGTTCCTGCTGCTGTCAGAATGTACAATGAGAACTGCTGAGTCTGTACTTGTGCCATTCACCTGCTGTGATAATCCACTAGTCACTTGCTGCTGTTATCACTATGGTTTATTCTACTCATGCTCTCTGCTGCTAAAGTACAATAGAAACATCAGTAAATACCTCCTGCTGATACTAGACTCCACTAGTGAGCGATCCTTCAACCAATTATACTAAAACTTTTATTTGATTATTATTGTATTTTATCCTCTGATCTTTAATAATAGATCCTGTATAACCTTAGAGCTCTTATTTTTCAACAAGTGTTGATACCTGCAGGTGAGAGCCAGATCCTGTCAGACCTCTGAAGCTCAGCAGGGCAGGGCCTGGTTAGTACTGTGATGGGAGACCTCTGGGAACACCATGTGCCACAGTGGGGCGGCTGTGGCTGTAAAGTGCCAAACTGTTGTTGTGACCTTTAGCCACGTTCAGACCGGATCATGCTTCGCGGCGACTTTCAATGCAAAGTCAATGGTGTCGCGCGTTTGAGCGTGGAACTGCATGTGCATGTACGGACTGCGCTGTAGAGGCGCATGGACCGCGCGGCAGAGGCACAGGAGCGGAAAATCGATACACGCAGGAGATAAATATTGCTGAACGTTTCCCTGGACCCTCGTGTCCAATCAGAGAGCCGCAAAGTGGTCACAGGGACACATACTGCTGTTGTATAAAGTCTCTGGTCTGGACACAGAGACGCTGCAGAGCTGCATTATGTGAGAAGAACTTTACACAAAAAGCCGCTAGCTTAACTCCGTTAGCATCAAAGTCCTCCCGCTACTTCCGCCATTTCCGGCGCGTGCCACCGCTGGCCAGGACTTCTCGTCTGAAGACCCCTGCGTCTGAAAATGTTCGTCTGGTGCGCGAGGCGTTAGCGTTCCAGCGTCAGCGGTCTGAACTAGGGGTGGGAACCTAAGGGTACCTCACAATACGATACGATACACGATACAAAGCTCACGATAACGATAATATCACGATAACGATATCACGATAACGATAATATCACGATAACGATAATATCACAATAACGATTTTATCACGATATGACGATTATTGATATATTGGTCAATATGCCAATTTATGGCATAAATAAAAGAAAAAATACACTTTATTTCATGATAAATAGAATGGAGATGCGTAATGTAGCCGTATATTAAGTATTGATACCAATTCAAAAAAAATATACTGTATTTTTTTTTTTCAAAATCGATATCGATACTTGCATATGCATATCGATAATCGAATCGCGGGAGAAAGTATCGCCCCTAGTCTGAACGCGCCTTTAGGCAAGACACTTCACCCACATTAGAATGAGTCTGGTGTGTGTGAATGGCTGTTGGAGGTGGTAGGGGCTGATGGCACAGACTGGTTGCCTCGCTCCTGTCAATATGCTCCAGGGCAGCTGTGGCTACAGTAGTAGTTTGTAGTAGTTGTATTTCCATTTAATATGTCATTAACAGAGAGAGAAGCGCTCTCACTGAGGGACGATCGATGCTTCATCTCAATTTGATCTCAGATATAAAAGTTTTGTTTGTCGTTTATTATATTATTGCGGATTTTTGGAGAGAGAATGTTGAAAATGCCTCTGTTGCAGTGTGTGGGTGTCATAGATATCATTAATATCTCACATTGATTAGAAGTACAATCGTGATATAAGGTGTGGATAAATGTCTTCAGTGCACCCTAAAGGAAGTAGTAAATATAAATATTTGGAAAAGGTTCAGGAAATATTATTTGTATTTGTGTTTTGACTAAAGTTTGCCTTGAGGTCGATGTTATTGTGATTGATGCGTGTGGAGGACTGCAGCACAAGCCTCATGTCGAAGAACAAACATGTAGCTCTGTCCCAGGTCCAGAACAGGTCTAGAACCATACTGAAACAGGTCTCAAACAGGTCTCAAAGACCAGTTACTAACCTGGTTCACAGTTTGTAACCGGACCCTGTGCCTCACATCTGATAAACACAGAACAAAAGCTCAGGACAAAAGTATGAGAGGAGAGAGAGAGAGAGACCAGAGAGAGAGAGAGAGACCAGAGAGAGAGAGAGAGACCAGAGAGAGAGAGAGAGACCAGAGAGAGAGAGAGACCAGAGAGAGAGAGAGAGAGAGAGAGAGAGAGAGAGACCAGAGAGAGAGAGACCAGAGAGAGAGAGACCAGAGAGAGAGACCAGAGAGAGAGAGAGAGACCAGAGAGAGAGAGACCAGAGAGAGAGAGACCAGAGAGCGAGAGACCAGAGAGCGAGACCAGAGAGAGAGGACGGAAGAGAGGAGGAAGACAAACCTTTCTGTGTCTGTGGCGCCTTTTTGTAAAAGCAGTAATCACAGATGTGGATTATATTTTAATCCAGATTACAGAGAAATATCCCCTCCATTGGACACTCATGCACCCTGTGTAGAGCCAGTACTGGTTCATTCCTGTTCAGACCTGGTTCAGTCCCTGTTTGAGGAAGTGTCTATTTTAATCCAGAGACAAGCTATTGTTTTAAGAGCAACGGAAACAACCATCAGTCTGAACCAGGTCTAAAGCAGACCTAAAGCAGGACTAAAGCAGGACTAAAGCAGGACTAAAGCAGGACTAAAGCAGGACTAAAGCAGACCTAAAGCAGGACTAAAGCAGGTCGTTGTCCTTCACAGTCCTGATCGATTGCTCTCGGGCCTCAGTGTAAATAATATTCTTTATTGATTTTGATGAAGCTGCTTCATGATCTTGAAACTTGTCCCTTTGATTCACATTTAGAACACTGATGGGGCAGTGCAATCGAAGAGCACAGATCAACAAGCACAGTATACATTCTTAGATCCTGGATCCAGAGGCTGATTCGGATCATGTTTCTTGTTCATCAGAGCCAAAATGTCTCTCAGCTTCTGTCTGTGCTCTTGTGCCTCAGCGCGTGTCTGCGCCTTCTGCTGGCCAGCTGCTGTCACTACCCTGAGAACGGAGTAGCTGCAGTTCCTTGCGTGTCCAGCAGAGGGAGAGCAGAGCCGCGGTGTGAATGTGGGTCAGAGCCTCAGACGCGCTCAGCCTTTAGACCTGATTCTGCAGAAATTGTGAGTGAGATTCTCCTGAAATGGGAGTGAATGCATAATCTTACTTTAGTCCCGCTTTAGATCCGCTTTATTTATTTCAATTCAATTTATTCTTGTATGGCCCTGAATCACAACAGTAGTTATCTCAGAAGACTTAACAAAATCGATCAGAGAATAAAACAGTTCAAACTCTAAGAATATAGAACAAATAAGTATATAGACGTATTTGTATCCAAACATAACATACAAAGCGTCTATTTTAAGATCAAAGCCCTGGACACGCCTACATTTAAATAATAATGAGCTAATTTGCATTTTTGCCCCAAACCGTTTGTGCCTCAAGCTAATCTCCCATCTGCAACTGAACCAGGTCTGAACCAGATCTGAAGCAGGTCTAAAACAGGTCTAAAGCAGGACAAAACCAGGTCTAAATCGAGTCTTAAGCAGGTCTAAAGCTGGACTGAAGCAGAACTAAAGCAGGACTGAAGCAGGTCTCAAGCAGGACTAAAGCAGGACTGAAGCAGGTCTCAAGCAGAACTAAAGCAGGACTGAAGCAGGTCTAAAGCAGGTCTCGAGCAGGTTCAAACTGGGATTTCTCTCTTGTCCTTGTTCACTCTCTCTAGGTCTCCAACACCCGGACCTCTCTCCTTCTGTCTCTTCATTATTTAAATAAACTAATTTCCTCTGAACTGGTTCCTCACGTTTGATCAGTCTGTTTGTTGTGATGCTGAAGCTCCAAGTCTGACCAAAAACCTGGACCGGATCTAGAAGACCGGATCTGGGAGACTGGGTCTGAGAGGCAGAGTCTGAGAGCAGAGAGGCCGAGTCTGAGAGGCCGAGTCTGAGAGGCCGAGTCTGAGAGGCCGAGTCTGAGAGGCCGAGTCTGAGAGGCCGAGTCTGAGAGGCCGAGTCTGAGAGGCCGAGTCTGAGAGGCCGAGTCTGAGAGGCCGAGTCTGAGAGGCCGAGTCTGAGAGGCCGAGTCTGAGAGGCCGAGTCTGAGAGGCCGAGTCTGAGAGGCCGAGTCTGAGAGGCCGAGTCTGAGAGGCCGAGTCTGAGAGGCCGAGTCTGAGAGGCCGAGTCTGAGAGGCCGAGTCTGAGAGGCCGAGTCTGAGAGGCCGAGTCTGAGAGGCCGAGTCTGAGAGGCCGAGTCTGAGAGGCCGAGTCTGAGAGGCCGAGTCTGAGAGGCCGAGTCTGAGAGGCCGAGTCTGAGAGGCCGAGTCTGAGAGGCCGAGTCTGAGAGGCCGAGTCTTGAGAGGCCGAGTCTTGAGAGGCCGAGTCTTGAGAGGCCGAGTCTTGAGAGGCCGAGTCTTGAGAGGCCGAGTCTTGAGAGGCTGGTATGACTGTATAACTTTGTGTTTCAATGGTCAGGTCTGAAAGTTACACTTCCCAGCTCTAATGATACATACCCCAGCTTTAATGTGAGTGAGTTAGTAAGTAATGTTTATTTATTAAGAGGATTTTACAGTCCAAGGTCACCCAAAGCGATTTACAATGTTCAGAGTCCAGACATTGTTCCATTCTCTCCTCACGGCGATGAAGCGAGATGCCGAACGCTCTGGTGCATTAAAGCCTCTGACCAAACACCATCCATTCACTCGCTCGATACATTCAGACCTATTGTACATGTTTTTAGTGGCAGGGTAAACCGGACCCACCACAGGAAATCGATGCATACACTGGGAGAACATGCAAACTCCTCACAGAATGGCCTGAAAATTGAATCGAACTCGAGCTGTCAAACTCAAGCGCTAACCACTGCGCTACCTTTCTGCCCCAGCTTTAAGACGCTTGTAAACCCTCAGTCGGTCGTTCCGGAGTCCATGCCGGGTTTTCTTTCTGTTCCTCGGGTGAATGCTGAGTGTATCTCCGGTCTCTACAGCGGCTCGTCCCTGCTCCTCTCCCCGCCTCGCAGTGCCTCTGTCCCGGCAGGACTGAGGAGCGCTGCCCGGTGTCCCCCGCAGTACATTATTAATTACTTAACATTTTTCATAATTTCTCATTCGAAACTTTTCCACTTCAACAACAACAGCATCCTCTTCCTCAGCGGCTCGCCTCACACTCTCACCCCGGGACTGAGGGGCTCTGTGGGGGACAGGGCGACACAAAGAGCCGGTCCCATCCGCGGAGACACATCACGGAGACGCATACAGTGGACAACTATAACGCGGATTACAATAATCTCACGTGGATTTCTACCGTTCTGCTTTTGAACCTCCCTTGAATACCGCCGGATTATAATCTGACATCTGGAGACTGCGACGATCACGAATATACAGCATTTCTTCCATAACGAGGATTATTTCTAGCTATTATTCATTCATTTTTATTTATTTTATCAAAACGCTGTCAATCATTATGACACGAACAACACGACCATGAATGAGAGTTCAGGCTTTATTCTGACGCTACATTCGCTTGCACCGATCCGTCTAATCCCGCACTGACAAAACACAGATTCCCATTGGTCCTAAACCCAGTGAGTTCCACGTGTGGCTTTAGCTCTTCACTCTTTCTGTTTTAACACAAACATTAGACTCTCCTCCAGCCTCCGCGTCCATCACCCGGGGATCCGCACAAGTTTACTCCTTGTTCAGTATTTATCAGTACAGTATTTATCTCTGAGGACTTTACCAAGCTGTCAATTTGCCAACACAGATTAGAGAAACACAGGAAATGCCATGATAAGGGGCAGATGACCACTGTCCATGAATGTGGATAGATGTCCTGCCCAGCTGTATGTGACATCACACTCTCATAGTGAAGTGACTGTAAATGTTGATGACGCTTCTCCATCTTGGACCTGTTCCATCGCCCTACATACAGCAGTCGTTCATATTTAATGCTCCCATATCCAAGACACGCTCTGTGGCTATGTTTATGCCTCGTATAGTTCCTTAGCCACACAAAAACTATGAGCTAGAAAATCTAGTTTTGATAGTCCTGCTTTAGACCTGCTTTAGTCTTAGTTTAGTCCTTGTTTAGACCTGCTTTAGTCTTAGTTTAGTCCTGGTTTAGACCTGCTTTAGACCTGCTTTAGTCTTAGTTTAGTCCTGGTTTAGACCTGGATTAGTCCTGCTTTATTCTTGGTTTAGTCCTGCTTTATTCTTGGTTTAGTCCTGCTTTATTCTTGGTTTAGTCCTGCTTTATTCTTGGTTTAGTGCTGGTATAGTCTTGGTTTAGTCCTGGTTTAGTCTTGCTTAACTCCTGTGTGGATGCTTTGACCCTATTTTTGACCGTTTTGGACTGTAATCCCAGTCCTAAAAACAAGCGCAGTTGGATCTGTTATGATTTTTATAAAAGTAGTAATATAGTTAATATGAATAGTATTTAATATAGTAGTTAATAATAATAGTATTTCATATAGTAATTTATTCTGTTGTTAATATTACTAGTAGTGAATCTGGGTGGACTGTTGTTGAGGATGTATTTACTCGACTCCTCGATGGAGAGCTCCACTCCTCGCAGGACTGTCTACCGCATTTCTTTAACTTTGGTCAAAAGACAAAGTTTGGACCAAGACACAGAAAGTGAGAAATGCAGAGTTTTCCGACGCGATCATTCCGTGGACGTCCACCGCTGCGGCGTCATGGAGCAGCTGCAGGAGGATGAGGAAACCGACCAATCACAGTGCGGCGCCAGGAACTTCAGAACGTTCAGCACGGGACACATAGAGATGGGACGAAGAACCAGGAGTCAGAGATTAGAGCGAGATCGCAACAGTTTTGTTACAGAGATCAGAAAGAGTCCAGAGAACAGGAGCAACATCAGCACTCAGAAGGAGCAGGACTGTTCCAACAATAACCACAACCATGAGAGGAACCAGGACTGTGAGACCAGCACTGTCTCTCCTGCAGATGATGGTAGGCCAGTCAAGGAAGACTGGGCCAGAATTCCAGACAAATATGGAACTTTTGGCGAGTCTAAAAGAGTGTCTGAAATGGTGAAGTCTCTTGAGGAAAAGGCGAGAAGTGAAAACACAACAGCAAAGAGGCTGCTCAAAGCCAAGAGCGTGGACGAGCGCAGCGTGGAAGCTAGCAAAGCTAACAACATGGCCTCCTCGCCTCCTGCTGACTCAGAGTCCAGGTCTGTACTGAGAAGGAGCTTCAGTTTCCGACACTGGAGCGGAGCAGACGGACTCAGGATCAAAGCTTTGTCCAGAGAGAGACACCACGGCAGCTCAGGCAGCCTCCCACAGAAGGCCAAGACCCGGGTCCTGGGAGCGGGACCAGACCTGAACCAGGCCCAGGGTCCGGACCCCAAGAGGAAAACCCGGACTCTGGACAACAGTGAGCTGCAGAGCCTGGAGGGCGGGTTTAAGCGTGGAGCTGATAGCAGGAGCAGCGGGCGCCGGCTGGTCCGGTTCTTCAGCGGGATCTTTGGGAAACGGGAAAGTCCCACAGGAAGTCCTGGTCTGAACCGGAGTCTGTGCAAAGACCACCGCAGCGACAGTGGGGAAACCTGGCACTCTGAAGGTAAAACATCATAGAGAACAAAAGAGAACCAGTTTATAGGCTTTAAAGCTGGGATCTGTAACTTTAGCCTCATCATAACGCATGTTTAAACCACAACTAATTTCTTCATCTTTTTATAAAACATCTTATGTGTCAGAAAGATCCCTGTGAGTCACTATTTGCTGATTGGCTGAGTGGGGGTGGTCCTATCTTTGATCTAAAGACGTGACATCACAGATACATGAACCGAGTCACAGAAGCAACTGTTTTAGAGCCAGAATTAGAGACTTGGGTTTAGTACTATTGGTCTGAGAGTTACAGACCCCAGCTTTAAATTTACAGACCCCAGCTTTAAAGTTACAGACCCCAGCTTTAAAGTTACCGATCCCCGCTATAAAGTGACAGACCCCAGCTTTAAATTTACAGACCCCAGCTTTAAAGTTACAGACCCCAGCTTTAAAGTTACCGATCCCCGCTTTAAAGTGACAGACCCCAGCTTTAAAATGTTTCTTACAAATATGCAAAAGATAAAGATGGCAGGTTGTGGTCTGGTTTTACTTTTTGGACAACAGAAAGTCACATACTGAAGTTATGAAGTTATGAACCCCAGCTTTAATCCACCCTTGTGGAGAAAGCCGTTGGTTGTGAAACAAAAGACAAAGACGTGTCCTGGTCGGTCACAGAGCTGCAGCTGTGTGTGATGGACAGTCGTCTCTTATTCCAAAAAACATTCTTCACACTGAGTTTCTGTTTATTTTTAGTTTGTGTTTTTCCCAGAAACATCTGCACAACACCATCAGCTCCGGATGTGTCGACTTATTTTGGCATCTGTGGAAATATGTGTTCAGTGGTTTGGAACTGGATTTTTATCTCTCTGGTCTCTCTCTGGTCTCTCATTGGTCTCTCTGGTCTCTCTCTGGTCTCTCCCTGGTCTCTCTCTCTGGTCTCTCTCTCTGGTCTCTCTCTCTGGTCTCTCTCTCTGGTGTCTCTCTGGTCTCTCTCTGGTCTCTCATTGGTCTCTCATTGGTTTCTCTCTGGTCTCTCTCTGGTCTCTCATTGGTCTCTCTATCTGGTCTCTCTCTGGTCTCTCTCTGGTCTCTCTCTGGTCTCTCTATCTGGTCTCTTTCTAGTCTCTCTCTGGTCTCTCTCTCTGGTCTCTCTCTGGTCTCTCATTGGCCTCTCTCTGGTCTCAAGGGTCTCTCATTGGCCTCTCTCTGGTCTCTCTCTGGTCTCTCATTGGCCTCTCTCTGGTCTCTCTCTGGTCTCTCTCTGGTCTCTCTCTGATCTCTCTCTGGTCTCTCTATCTGGTCTCTCTCTGGTCTCTCTCTGGTCTCATTGGTCTCTCATTGGCCTCTCTCTGGTCTCTCTCTGGTCTCTCATTGGCCTCTCTCTGGTCTCCCTCTGGTCTCTATCTGGTCTCTCTCTGGTCTCTCTCTGGTCTCTCTCTGGTCTCTCATTGGCCTCTCTCTGGTCTCTCATTGGCCTCTCTCTGGTCTCTCTCTGGTCTCTCTCTGGTCTCTCATTGGCCTCTCTCTGGTCTCATTGGTCTCTCATTGGCCCCTCTCTGGTCTCTCTCTGGTCTCTCATTGGCCTCTCTCTGGTCTCTGTCTGGTCTCTCATTGGCCTCTCTCTGGTCTCATTGGTCTCTCATTGGCCTCTCTCTGGTCTCTCTCTGGTCTCTCATTGGTCTCTCTATCTGGTCTCTCTCTGGTCTCTCATTGGCCTCTCTCTGGTCTCTCTCTGGTCTCTCATTGGCCTCTCTCTGGTCCCTCTCTGGTCTCTCATTGGTCTCTCTATCTGGTCTCTCTCTGGTCTCTCATTGGCCTCTCTCTGGTCTCATTGGTCTCTCATTGGCCCCTCTCTGGTCTCTCTCTGGTCTCTCATTGGCCTCTCTCTGGTCTCTCATTGGCCTCTCTCTGGTCTCTCTCTGGTCTCTCTCTGGTCTCTCTCTGATCTCTCTCTGGTCTCTCTCTGGTCTCTCTCTGGTCTCTAGTTGGCCTCTCTCTGGTCTCATTGGTCTCTCATTGGTCTCTCTATCTGGTCTCTCTCTGGTCTCTCATTGGCCTCTCTCTGGTCTCTCTCTGGTCTCTCATTGGCCTCTCTCTGGTCTCTCTCTGGTCTCTCATTGGTCTCTCTATCTGGTCTCTCTCTGGTCTCTGGTCTCTCATTGGCCTCTCTCTGGTCTCATTGGTCTCTCATTGGCCTCTCTCTGGTCTCTCTCTGGTCTCTCATTGGTCTCTCTCTGGTCTCTCTCTGGTCTCTCATTGGCCTCTCTCTGGTCTCTCTCTGGTCTCTCTCTGGTCTCTAATTGGCCTCTCTCTGGTCTCATTGGTCTCTCATTGGCCCCTCTCTGGTCTCTCTCTGGTCTCTCATTGGCCTCTCTCTGGTCTCTCTCTGGTCTCTCATTGGCCTCTCTCTGGTCTCTCATTGGCCTCTCTCTGGTCTCTCTCTGGTCTCTCATTGGTCTCTCATTTGTCTCTCTATCTGTTCTCTCTCTGGTCTCTGGTCTCTCTCTGGTCTCTCATTGGCCTCTCTCTGGTCTCTCTCTGGTCTCTCATTGGCCTCTCTCTGGTCTCTCTCTGGTCTCTCATTGGTCTCTCTATCTGGTCTCTCTCTGGTCTCTAGTCTCTCTCTGGTCTCTCTCTGGTCTCTCATTGGCCTCTCTCTGGTCTCATTGGTCTCTCTCTGGTCTCTCTCTGGTCTCTCATTGGTCTCTCTATCTGGTCTCTCTCTGGTCTCTAGTCTCTCTCTGGTCTCATTGGTCTCTCATTGGCCTCTCTCTGGTCTCTCTCTGGTCTCTCTCTGGTCTCTCATTGGCCTCTCTCTGGTCTCTCTCTGGTCTCTCATTGGCCTCTCTCTGGTCTCTCTCTGGCCTCTTATTGGTCTCTCTATCTGGTCTCTCTCTGGTCTCTCATTGGCCTCTCTCTGGTCTCATTGGTCTCTCATTGGCCTCTCTCTGGTCTCTCTCTGGTCTCTCATTGGTCTCTCTATCTGGTCTCTCTCTGGTCTCTAGTCTCTCTCTGGTCTCTAGCCTCTCTCTGGTCTCTCTCTGGTCTCTCATTGGTCTCTCTATCTGGTCTCTCTCTGGTCTCTCATTGGCCTCTCTCTGGTCTCATTGGTCTCTCATTGGCCCCTCTCTGGTCTCTCTCTGGTCTCTCATTGGCCTCTCTCTGGTCTCTCTCTGGTCTCTCATTGGCCTCTCTCTGGTCTCTCTCTGGTCTCTCATTGGCCTCTCTCTGGTCCCTCTCTGGTCTCTCATTGGTCTCTCTATCTGGTCTCTCTCTGGGCTCTCATTGGCTTCTCTCTCTCTGGTCTCTCTTGGTCCTCTCTGGTCATTGGCTCTCTTGGTCTCTCTGGTCTCTCTCTGGTCTCTCATTGGCCTCTCTCTGGTCTCTCTCTGGTCTCTCATTGGCCTCTCTCTGGTCTCTCTCTGGTCTCTCTCTGGTCTCTCTCTGGTCTCTCTCTGGTCTCTCTCTGGTCTCTCTCTGATCTCTCTCTGGTCTCTCTATCTGGTCTCTCTCTGGTCTCTCTCTGGTCTCTCATTGGCCTCTCTCTGGTCTCATTGGTCTCTCATTGGTCTCTCATTGGCCTCTCTCTGGTCTCTCTCTGGTCTCTCATTGGCCTCTCTCTGGTCTCTCTCTGGTCTCTCATTGGTCTCTCTATCTGGTCTCTCTCTGGTCTCTGGTCTCTCATTGGCCTCTCTCTGGTCTCATTGGTCTCTCATTGGCCTCTCTCTGGTCTCTCTCTGGTCTCTCATTGGCCTCTCTCTGGTCTCTCTCTGGTCTCTCATTGGCCTCTCTCTGGTCTCTCATTGGCCTCTCTCTGGTCTCTCTCTGGTCTCTCTCTGGTCTCTCATTGGCCTCTCTCTGGTCTCATTGGTCTCTCATTGGCCCCTCTCTGGTCTCTCTCTGGTCTCTCAATGGCCTCTCTCTGGTCTCTCTCTGGTCTCTCATTGGCCTCTCTCTGGTCTCTCATTGGCCTCTCTCTGGTCTCTCTCTGGTCTCTCATTGGTCTCTCATTTGTCTCTCTATCTGTTCTCTCTCTGGTCTCTGGTCTCTCTCTGGTCTCTCATTGGCCTCTCTCTGGTCTCTCATTGGCCTCTCTCTGGTCTCTCTCTGGTCTCTGGTCTCTCATTGGCCTCTCTGGTCTCATTGGTCTCTCATTGGCCTCTCTCTGGTCTCTCTCTGGTCTCTCTCTGGTCTCTCTCTGGTCTCTCTCTGGTCTCTCTCTGGTCTCTCATTGGCCTCTCTCTGGTCTCTCATTGGCCTCTCTGGTCTCATTGGTCTCTCATTGGCCTCTCTCTGGTCTCTCTCTGGTCTCTCTCTGGTCTCTCATTGGCCTCTCTCTGGTCTCTCTCTGGTCTCTCATTGGTCTCTCTATCTGGTCTCTCTCTGGTCTCTGGTCTCTCTCTAGTCTCTCATTGGCCTCTCTCTGGTCTCATTGGTCTCTCATCTGGCCCCTCTCTGGTCTCATTGGTCTCTCATTGGCCCCTCTCTGGTCTCTTTCTGGTCTCTCATTGGCCTCTCTCTGGTCTCTCTCTGGTCTCTCATTGGCCTCTCTATGGTCTCTCTATGGTCTCTCTCTGGTCTCTCATTGGCCTCTCTCTGGTCTCTCATTTGGCTCTCTCTCTGTTCTCTCTCTGGTCTCTGGTCTCTCTCTGGTCTCTCTGGTCTCTCTCTGGTCTCTCATTGGCCTCTCTCTGGTCTCATTGGTCTCTCATTGGCCTCTCTCTGGTCTCTCATTGGTCTCTCTCTGGTCTCTCTCTGGTCTCTCATTGGCCTCTCTCTGGTCTCTCTTTGGTCTCTCTCTGGTCTCTCTTTGGTATCTCTATGATCTCTCTCTCGTCTCTTTCTGTTCTCTCTCTAGGCTCTCTCTGGTCTATGATCTCTCTGTTCTCTTTCTGTTCTCTCTCTGGTCTTTTTCCAGAGGATGTAAATAGAAATGTCCAGAGGAAGTAGGAGGTCAGGGGTCAAACTCTGGAACAAAACACAGCCTCAGTGTGGACTGCACCAGAATCATCAACATCAGTCTTCATGGCCATTATTATCAAGGCGCAAACATGTTTCTCTGGTCGCAGCAGCAGTAGAAGCAGCAGTAGTAGTAGCAGTAACAGTAGTAGCAGTAGTAGCATCAGTAGCAGTAGTAGCAGTAGTAGCAGCAGTAGCAGTAGTAGCAGCAGTAGCATCAGAGTGTACTGTGACCTATTTCTGTTGGAGCAGAACTAACGTCACATGAATAAAGTCTCAGCGCGTCATTTATATTTAACAACAAACTTGGGGCCCGGTCTGGACCCGGTCTGGCTTTGGCTCTGCTTCAGGAGTGGGTCTGGTCATGTAAATTTCTCCTATGTGAGATAAATAAAGCAAATCTTATCTTATCTTGTCTAAAGCAGCTCATGTGTAGTAATAATAATGCAGAAAACTGACCCCATAGAATGAGGTTCAACTCTGAACAGTTTTGACCTGAGATACACAACAATCAGTTCATCTTTGAGTTTCTCCAGAGGTTTAGTCCAAATACCTGGATCTGGTCTGGATCTGGTCTGGATCTGGTCTGGATCTGGTCTGGATCTGGTCTGGATCTGGTCTGGATCTGGTCTGGATCTGGTCTGGATCTGGTCTGGATCTGGTCTGGATCTGGTCTGGGCCAGTTACCTCCTGCTGCGAAAGACTTTATGTATCTGCCAGACAATCACTGCAGTATCTACTGTTACTAGACCTGCTAAGACCTACTTTAGACCTACTTTAGACCTACTTTGGACCTGCTTCAGACCTGCTTCAGACCTGCTTCATACCTGCCTTTAGTCCTGCTTTAGACCTGCTTCAGTCCTGGTCTCCTCCTGGTTCTTCTGACACCAGTCTGTAAAGTGATAATGACTCGTGAAGCTCTTTGACCCGGAGTGTAAACAGTCTGAGTCTGGGTCAAGCGTCGCTCTCTTAGGTCACAATCAGCCCACAGACCAAGTCAGCGATCAGTAGATGTTATCCCTTTTGAAGAATAGTGCATGAAATATCTGACAAAAGTTGGACTAGGCTTAATTCATGCCTTTAGTCCTGATTTACACCTCCTTTAGACCTGCTTTAGTCCAGCTTTAGTCCAGCTTTAGTCATGCTTTAGTCCTACTTTAGACCTGCTTTAGACCTGCTTTAGTCCTGCTTTAGTCTTGCTTTAGTCCTACTTTAGACCTTCTCTAGACCTGCTTTAGTCCTGCTTTAGTCCTGCTTTAGACCTGCTTTAGTCCTACTTTTGTCCTGCTTTAGTTCTACTTTAGTCCTGCTTTAGTCCTGCTTTAGTCCTGCTTTAGTACTGCTTTAGTCCTGCTTTAGTCCTGCTTTAGTCCTGCTTTAGTACTGCTTTAGACCTGCTTTAGTCCTGCTTTAGTCCTGCTTTAGTACTGCTTTAGTACTGCTTTAGACCTGCTTTAGTCCTGCTTTCACACTGCTTTAGACCTGCTCTTGACCTGCTTTAGACCTGCTTTAGTCCTGCTTTAGTCCTGCTTTAGTACTGCTTTAGACCTGCTTTAGTCTGCTTTAGTACTGCTTTAGTACTGCTTTAGACCTGCTTTAGTCCTGCTTTCACACTGCTTTAGACCTGCTCTTGACCTGCTTTAGACCTGCTTTAGTCTGGGCCAGAGCAGGTCTCTGGTGATGTGGGAGACAGAATGTGGGTGCTGTGGGGGAGGGGAGATAAGCTCATATGTGGGTCACCCCACCTCCATCACTCTAGCACATTCCATCATCTTCCTCCAGCTCTCACTCGTAATCAGGACAAAACTACAGACCCCTTCCCAGCCCACAGTTGTGAGGTAGAAGCTTCTGATACCTGGTTGTTCTGAACTGAGACTACTGCAAACCTACCACCGCATGGCTGTCTGTCAGCTTCACTATAGACTCAGGAGACGCTCTCTGCATTCTCCACATTCTCTGCATTCTGAGTGTGACATCACCTGCTAACATGTTATGTCGTTATGTGAGTTTGACTCAGAGCTGTGATCTGAGGATGTATACAGAAGAGGAAAACCATGTGGAGACCAGAGAGGGAGACCAGAGAGGGAGACCAGAGAGGGAGACCAGAGAGGGAGACCAGAGAGTCTCACTGGATCTCATGTGGAAGTCCTTTGTGCTCAGCATCTGTTTCCTGTTTTCATCTTGTGTGTGCAAAGTGTGTGTGTGCAAAGTGTGTGTGTGTAAAGTGTGTGTGTGTAACATGTGTAATGTTCTTCTTTCAGACTTTTCAGATAAAAAAGTCCTCCTAATTCTAATAGTAACGTGTGTGTTTCTTTCAGACTGTGTTCAGATAATTGTGTTCTTCCTGACTCTAACAGTGTGTGTGTTTCCTGTTGTTACAGATGCGTTTGTGAACAGTCAGGAGTGGACTCTGAGCCGAGCAGTTCCAGAACTGAAAGTGGTGAGACACCGACACAGTCTCACTCACCGACACAGTCTCATTCACTGACAGTCTCATTCTAGGGCTGGGCGGTATAAACGGTATAAGCGGTAGACGGTATAAATTTGGCCCACGGTAGAGATTTTTGTTATACCGGCATATTGCGATAGGTCATTATGTCATTAAATTGCGCAGGCTCTGACGCCAGCAGAGAGCATCAAAACAAACCGGCATTCAGCAGCATTAACCTAGCACTATTAGCCTAGCAGACACCACTGGAAACAACGAACAACAGCACGGCATTCACACCGTGTTTCTGTCTCTGTATTGTTGTCACAGCGGCCCCAGCAGAGGTAAATACACACACAGTAATCACAGTTTAAGAGTCTACCTTTTGGCCAATCATTGTCAAAGGGGCGTAAGCTCGAAGCGCCAGCGTGTGCCGTGTCCGCAGCATCATCACAGCAGAAGTTTGGGAAAGTTAGCGTCAGATTCGGACCTCCGCGGTCAATATCTCACGAAAGCTACTTTGTTAAACAAAATTATTTGTGCCAAAATGACCATTTACATCAATTGTTCAAATCCAATGCCCTGTTTTAATGAACATAAATCCATTGAATCATCCAGTTCACTGCAAGCGCAGAGAAAAGCGCTTAGGGAGCGTCAACAAATGGCAAGACCAGCTTTGTAAACGAACAGCTTTTACTGAAGTCATGCACCTGCACAAAACTCTCAGACACTATAAATAATGACCATGTCAAACTCCTACAGACTTTGATTTCAACATTTGTGAGTTTTTTATATTTTAAATGAATGCATATGTTTTTCTTTTTTAAAATTGCTTTTACAGTGAATGGTATTTACTGTAACATACATAAATAATGTATGTTATTTGTCTCTTTATTCGTCTCAACTGATTTTCTAACTCAAAAAATATATATATTAGATTCTAATATATAAATAATTAACAATCTTGACTATTTTATGCAAGAACCTGCTAGACCTATATTGAAATTCACACACCAAATTATACCGCGATATATACCGTCTACTGTCTATGACCCAAATTATACCGCGATATGAATTTTAGGCCATATCGCCCACCCCTAACTGACAGTCTAATTCACCGACACAGTCTAATTCACCGACACAGTCTCATTCACCGACACAGTCTCACTCACCGACACAGTCTCACTCACCGACACAGTCTCATTCACTGACAGTCTCATTCACCGACACAGTCTCACTCACCGACACAGTCTCATTCACTGACTGTCTCATTCACTGACTGTCTCACTCACCGACTCAGTCTCACTGACCGACACAGTCTCACTCACTGACACAGTCTCATTCACCGACACAGTCTCATTCACCGACACAGTCTCATTCACTGACAGTCTCATTCACAGACACAGTCTCATTCACCGACACAGTCTCACTCACCGACACAGTCTCGTTCACCGACACAGTCTCGTTTACCGACACAGTCTCGTTCACCGACACAGTCTCGTTCACCGACACAGTCTCGTTCACCGACACAGTCTTGTTCACCGACACAGTCTCGTTCACAGACACAGTCTCACTCACAGACACAGTCTCACTCACAGACACAGTCTAATTCACAGACACAGTCTCCCTCACCGACACAGTCTCGTTCACCGACACAGTCTCGTTCACCGACACAGTCTCGTTCACCGACACAGTCTCGTTCACCGACAGTCTCGTTCACCGACACAGTCTCGTTCACCGACACAGTCTCACTCACCGACACAGTCTCACTCACAGACACAGTCTCACTCACCGACACAGTCTCATATGGAGCTATTATTGTTTCAATAATATTTGTGTGTGCGTAAACAGATTTGTGTGTGCGTAACCAGATTTGTGTGTGCGTAACCAGATTTGTGTGTGCGTAACCAGATTTGTGTGTGCGTAACCAGATTTGTGTGTACGTAAAAAGATTTGTGCGTGCGTAACCAGATTTGTGTGTGTGTAAAAGAAATATTTGTGCGTGTGTAAATAGATTTTTATGTACGTATCAAGATTTGTGTGTGCGTTAAAAAAAAAAAGTAAGTTTTACACACAAGTTGTTTTTTTTACACACGAATCTTTTGACGCAGTCCTGCCTTGGCAGATTCGCAAGTGTTACTTGGACTGTGTGTGTGCGTAAACAGATTTGTGTGTGTGTAATTTGACATTTGTATCTGTAACAGAACAATCTGTGTGTAAATAACCACGTTGTACGAAGAGAAGTACGGAAAAAAGCCTAAGCGCTACGCACAGGCTCTGTTTTACACACAAATCTTTTTTTGACACACCTCTGCCGCAAAGCGTGTGTCAAAAAGATTTATAAGTGTAATGTGGTTGTTCCAGCAGTACACCAGCAGATGGTGCTGTTGTAGCTGGTTATTACCTACACGCAAGCAAACCAACAAGTGTAGATAGAGAAAACCGAAGGATTTAAGAAGAAGAAAAGTTCAGGATGACAAGGAACACTAAAATTCCCACAAAATCCGACCTTTATGAAAGCTGTAGGTTCTCTGTCAGCTGTTTTAGTTTACTTTGAGTTCTATGGGGAAAATTTCTGTGTAGCCAACGTGAATTTAGTCTGCAGTACATGAGAATCCTTCAGCTCCAAGCTAGTAACACCCTATCCAGTTATTATAATAGATCCATGTATCATACAGTGGTGTGAATGACAGGATTTTGAAAATAGGAAAAAAATATCATAAACAGCTGCGGTAGTGTGTCTTGTCAAGACAGTAGGTTTTGGTTTGCTTGCGTGTAGGTAATAACCAGCTACAACAGCACCATCTGCTGGTGTACTGCTAGAACAACCACATTACACTTACAAATCTTTTTGACACACGCTTGGCGGCAGAGGTGTGTCAAAAAGAGATGTGTGTGTAAAACAGCGCCTGTGCGTAGCACTTTGGCTTTTTTCGTTCTTCTCTTTGTACAACGCGGTTATTTACACACAGATTGTTCTGCTACAGATACAAATGTCAAATTACACACACACAAATCTGTTTACGCACGCACACAGTTCAAGTTACACTTGCGAATCTGCGAAGGCAGGACTGCGTCAAAAGATTTGTGTGTAAAAAAAAAACTTGTGTGTAAAACGTACTTTTTTTTTTCTTTACACACACACAAATCTTTCTACGCACACACAAATCTTTTTACGCACACACAAATCTTTTTACGCACACACAAATCTTGATACGTACATACAAATCTATTTACACACGCACAAATATTTCTTTTACACACACACAAATCTGGTTACGCACGCACAAATCTGGTTACGCACACACAAATCTGGGTACGCACACACAAATCTGGTTACGCACGCACAAGTCTTTTTACGCACACACAAATATTATTGAAACAATAATAGCTCCATAGTCTCACTCACAGACACAGTCTCACTCACAGACACAGTCTAATTCACAGACACAGTCTCCCTCACCGACACAGTCTCGTTCACCGACACAGTCTCGTTCACCGACAGTCTCGTTCACTGACACAGTCTCATTCACCGACACAGTCTCGTTCACCGACAGTCTCATTCACCGACACAGTCTCACTCACAGACACAGTCTCTGTTTAACATCTGTGTGTTGCAGGACATTGTGGGTAATGTAGACTGTGTTACAGGGCATTGTGGGTAATCTGGCGAGTGGGAAGTCTGCGCTGGTTCATCGATATCTGACTGGAACCTATGTCCAAGAAGAGTCTCCAGAAGGTATAGACTCAAACTGGACTAGACCAGGACCAAGACCTGGACCCTAGACCTGGACCCTAGACCTGGACCCAAGACTTGGACCCAAGACCTGGACCCAAGACCTGGACCCAAGACCTGGACCCAAGACCTGGACCCAAGACCTGGACCCAAGACCTGGACCCAAGACCTGGACCCAAGACCTGGACCCAAGACCTGGACCCAAGACCTGGACCCAAGACCTGGACCCAAGACCTGGACCCAAGACCTGGACCCAAGACCTGGACCCAAGACCTGGACCCAAGACCTGGACCCAAGACCTGGACCCAAGACCTGGACCCAAGACCTGGACCCAAGACCTGGACCCAAGACCTGGACCCAAGACCTGGACCCAAGACCTGGACCCAAGACCTGGACCCAAGACCTGGACTGGTTTAGGTCTAGACCAGGTCTCACTTGAACTGGTTCGAACACTTCAGTCTCGTTCATAAATGTTTCATGTTCCATATTTCTGAAAAACACAGATCTGAATTAAACATGAACAGATGAAGTGGGTCAATCATGGTCTGGTCCAGTCCTGGTCCAGTCCTGGTCCAGTCCTAGTCTCAGAATAGTCCTCCTCTGTGTTTCCTGTGGTTTCACTGCACCACATGTATTTATACTTGCAGTGGGAATCACGACTAAAGCAGGTCCAAAGCAGGACTAAAGCAGGACTAAAGCAGGACTAAAGCAGGCTCTAAAGCAGGCTCTAAAGCAGGCTCTAAAGCAGGCTCTAAAGCAGGCTCTAAAGCAGGACTAAAGCAGGACTAAAGCAGGACTAAAGCAGGACTAAAGCAGGTCTAAAGCAGGACTAAAGCAGGACTAAAGCAGGTCTAAAGCAGGTCTAAAGCAGGTCTAAAGCAGGACTAAAGCAGGACTAAAGCAGGTCCAAGGCAGGTCCAAGGCAGGTCCAAGGCAGGACTAAGGCAGGACTAAGGCAGGACTAAGGCAGGACTAAGGCAGGACTAAGGCAGGACTTAAGCAGGTCTTGACATGGGGCTTGCCTCTCCACACACCTGCCTCGTAATGCTGCCTGTGTGTTTCTATTTGCATGGCGACGGGTCCTTGCATGAAGTGTTCTTTTATCTAAACCTCAGCAGTGATGGAGGATCCTCAAAAACATTGTCAGCCAATCACTGAGCTTCCCTGTGGTCTCAGTGGCTCTTGTATCTGCTTCCCTCTGCTGGTGCAGTGCTGTAGTTACAGCTCTGTTAGGAGCAGTTACTCAGCCGTAATCTCACAATCTCAGATTATTTTATTTGTGCACAAACCTTCAGAACATTCGGAACACCAACATGATATTCTTTGGTCACTTTCCTGGTCCTGGTCTCAGTCCTGGTCCTGATCTCAGTCCTGGTCTGAGTCCTTGTCTCAGTCTGGGTCAGGTTCTCAGTCCTGGTTCTGGTCCTCCATCACTGCAGGTGCTTGTTCTTATTCTTGGTGTTTGGTGCATGTTCTAATCTTCTTCTTCTGTTTCTTCTGAAGCCGACGTCGACGCAGGTAACACCTGTCAATCAACTGTCACGCCTGTCAATCACCTGTCACACCTGTCAATCACCTGTCACGCCTGTCTATCATAGTGATATTTCTGTAGTCCCTTTGATCTTTCGGTAGTCCCTTTGATCGCTGTAGTCCCTTTGATCTTTGTGTAGTCCATTCGATTTCTGTGTAGTCCCTTTGGTCTCTCTGTAGTCTCTTTGGTCTCTCTGTAGTCTCTTTGATCTCTCTGTAGTTTCTTTGATCTCTCTGTAGTTTCTTTGATCTCTCTGTAGTCCCTTTGATCTCTCTGTAGTCTCTTTGATCTCTGTAGTCTCTCTGATCTCTCTGTAGTCTCTTTGATCACTCTGTAGTCCCTTTGATCTCTCTGTAGTCCCTTTGATCTCTCTGTAGTCTCTTTGATCTCTCTGTAGTCTCTTTGATCTCTCTGTAGTCTCTTTGATCTCTCTGTAGTCTCTTTGATCTCTCTGTAGTCTCTTTGATCTCGCTGTAGTCTCTTTGATCTCTCTGCAGTCTCTTTGATCTCTCTGTAGTCTCTTTGATCTCTCTGTAGTCTCTTTGATCTCTCTGTAGTCCCTTTGATCTCTCTGTAGTCTCTTTGATCACTCTGTAGTCTCTTTGATCTCTCTTTGATGTTTGATTTCTAAGTCTTTGACCTCTGGTTGTGAAGGCGGCAGGTTCAAAAAGGAGATGGTGGTGGACGGCCAGAGTCACCTGCTGCTGATTCGAGATGAAGGGGGCCCCCCGGAGGCTCAGGTCAGTACTGCTGCTGTACAATGTGACCAGTGCAGCACAGACCAAACAGGGTTAAAGCTGGGGTTTGTGACCTTATAGCTAGGTATGTGACTTTAAAGCTGAGGTATGTGACTCCAAAGCTGCCTATGTATCTTTCAGTTCTCTCTGTGGGTGGACGCGGTGGTCTTCGTCTTCTCCCTCGAGGACGAGATCTCCTTTCAGACGGTGTTCCATTATTTCAGTCGTTTGGCGAATTTCAGGAACACCACCGACCTGCCGCTGGTCCTGGTGGGGACACAAGGTGAGAACCAGAGTGAGAGACCAGAGTGAGAGACCAGAGTGAGAGACCAGAGTGAGAGACCAGAGTGAGAGACCAGAGTGAGAGACCAGAGTGAGAGACCAGAGTGAGAGACCAGAGTGAGAGACCAGAGTGAGAGACCAGAGTGAGAGACCAGAGTGAGAGACCAGAGTGAGAGACCCATGGCGACAGTCCTGTTCAGAGCTTCTGTTGCTGTGGTTCATAGTCCACACCATAAAACACCAGGAATCTTCTGAGTTCATGATTTCTACTTATCTGAAAAACACACACAGAAACTCTGTATCGTACATAGATTAATGAGGCTAAAAGATTTCTGGAAGATAAGATCAGATAACACTTCCGGTGGCGCTGCCCTGCTGCGTTTGTGTACTTGTCTCTAATTTAGAAGCAACAGAAAGACAAAATATGTTGATGGTGAAAGGACTGTTTATTGTACTCCTAATCCAGCTGGTACTGGGACACACTATGCCGGAGCCTAGTGCGCCCATGCCTCTAAGCTACAGGACAGAGCAGCTCCTGGTTCTCTGTCCCAGCAGCAGTCACACACCCGTACCTGCTTTACCGATAGAACTGCTGTGCACCCCGACTAAAGGTCGAATGAGTCGCACGCGGAAGAGAGGAAGATGAGGAGGAGTGTGGCAGATACTTTGTAGAAGGGCGAACAGGCCACCGCTAACTTCAATACTTCGAACACTAAAGAACAAAGCTCCAGGCTCCTGCACAAGTACCATGACTCATGCCTGCTCATGCCCCAGGAGGACGTTCCTGATGCATTTGGAGCACCCTCATGTGCTCGTCTGTTACTGATTGACTTTAGTTCAGCGTTCAACTCGCCACAACCACATCTTCTATTGAGGAAGTTGTCTGAACTTAATCTGCATCCATCCACAATTAGATGTTAAAAGTAATTTTTATGGAATCGTAGTCAGCGAGTCAGCCTGAACCGTACACTGTCAGGGAGCAGACTTTTGAGCACATGAGCACCGCAGGGTAGTTCAGGTGCTGAGCAGCAGAGGGCGCCATCGCTCTGTGACTGAAGTCTGCTCATTTCCTCAACAAATGCATACATCCATGACTCTAGTTCTGGCTCTAAAAATGTTGTTTCTGTCACTCATTTCACATCATGTATTTGTGATGTCACATCTGTAGAACAAAGAGAGGACCACCCTCACTCAGCCAATCAGTTCTCAGCCCAAAGAGGCAGATAGTGACTCTCAAGGCTCTTCAGACAAAAGATATTGTTTTCTCTCCGGTATTGTGAGAGACATAATACAGTTTAGTTCTTTAACCTTTACCCACATGTCAGGAGTGTGTCCGAGACTGAGGCCGTTCATCCCTGCTTGCAGCTGTAACTCCCTCTCTGCAGTCCATCCCTGCTTGCGGCTCTAACTGCCCTCTCTCCACACAGATGCCATCAGCTCGGTGAATCCTCGTGTTATTGACGACTCTCGAGCTCGAAAACTGTCCAACGAACTGAAGCGCTGCACGTACTACGAGACCTGCGCCACCTACGGGCTGAACGTGGAGCGAGTGTTCCAGGACGGTGAGTCTGTTGGACCAGGAGCAGGACCAGGAGCAGGACAGAGACCAGGACAGAGACCAGGACAGAGACCAGGACAGAGACCAGGACAGAGACCAGGACAGAGACCAGGAGCAGGACAGAGACCAGGAGCAGGACAGAGACCAGGAGCAGGACAGAGACCAGGAGCAGGACAGAGACCAGGAGCAGGACAGAGACCAGGAGCAGGACAGAGACCAGGAGCAGGACAGAGACCAGGAGCAGGACAGAGACCAGGAGCAGGACAGAGACCAGGAGCAGGACAGAGACCAGGAGCAGGACAGAGACCAGGAGCAGGACAGAGACCAGGACAAGGACAGAGACCAGGACAGAGACCAGGACAGAGACCAGGACAGAGACCAGGACAGAGACCAGGACAGAGACCAGGACAGAGACCAGGACAGAGACCAGGACAGAGACCAGGACAGAGACCAGGACAGAGACCAGGACAGAGACCAGGACAGAGACCAGGACATGAAGAAGAAGCTGATTCTGTCGGGGGTGACACTCAGAGCTGCACCCAATGCTCATAGCACTGACCTTTTGCTGATTATCCTGCAGGTGGTGGTCCTCGCTTCACTAACGTACACATACACACATACACACATACACATATATGTGTATATGTGTATGTGTGTACATGTGTGTATATCCACACATATACACACAGACACACATACACACATACACACATTTTCACATATACACACATACACACACATACACTAGGGTTTAATATTTTTCCCGAAAATGAGATGTCTCATAATCCCGGGAAATAGCTGTTTTTTTGTAGTTGTTGTTTTTAGCCCAAGTAATGTATGATATCACTCAAATATGTATAATATTAAACATAAATCCATCAAAAGATGCCATCTCCGCTAGTGTTTCACAAAGCGATTTGCTAGCTTTGCTAAAGTAGCCATTTAGCATGTGGCTCTTTAGTGCCCCTTGAGTGGCTCCTGGAGCCTTTTCAAAAATGTCTAAAAATAGAGTGGGAGGGCTATATTTTATTTCTAGTTTCAATGTGGTTTCTGTAGGAGGGACAACATTCTTAACGTTTTCCAATACAATAAAAATGTGCATAAGAAATATTCAATTTTAACATTTGTGTCAACTGAAATTTGCGTCATATCCTGCGATGCGCGGTTACCCGGCCCCGCGCCGGGCGGCCGCTGTTGTATACAAACCGGCATGTGCCACATGAGTCCGCATAAATCCCAAAGCTAAAAAGGGAAATGGTTGATAAGAACCAGGAACTCAAGGAAGAATGAACTGGAACATTTGTTTTCATTGTCAATGAGCAAGGACTGCTTCATGTTTGCTTTGTAATGAGAATATATTGAAGAACAAAAAGAGTCATGTGGAAAATTGGCTGCTGACCCCAGTTTGGAGAGAAACAGTGTGATCGCAGTTATTCTGGAGCGGATTCATCTCCAAACTTCTACTGAATTTTGTTGCAACACGAGGAACAAGCAAGTGCGAAACACTGTTCGGGACATTCAGCTCCAGCGAACTCCAGCCGTGACGACGTGTGACGTGATCGATATGAACAGACAGTGCTGTAATGCAGGTTTGTGAACTGAGCCAAAAAGCGGATTTATTTACTGTATTTCTACAATTGCATGAACGCAACAAAAGGAAAGTTAAATTTAAAGCATATATGGTATAGCAGAGTAGTCACATGGTGCGTCACTGTCTTGCATTACAGTGAAAATGTATATATATCATAATCATGCATATTATGTATTTGTAGCCTATACTTACTCATTTAAGGGCGACAGTAGCTCAGTTGGTAGAGCATTGGCCTTAAGGCCAGTGGGTCATGGGTTCAATTCCCACCTTTGCACCTTCTCCATCGATTCCCACTGATGACTGCTGTCGTTGTGTCCTTGGGCAAGACACTTAACCCCACTTTGCCCAAAGCCCCCACTGAAAGATCAAGGCTATGCTCACACTCAGAGAGCAGCCGTCCTCCTGTGGACTCACCACCTGCAGAGGGTCAGTGAGGGGCTGGTGCTATGAGACTTGGGTGGCATCTCTGATTGCCACCCCCCTGACCCAGAAATGGATTAAAGGGTAGAAAATGGATGGATGGATGGACTTACTCATTTACTGATACTAGGCTAATACAGCTTACAGCCTGTGTTGCTTTCATATAAGCCTTAAAAAAGACAGTAAAGTTTATGCGGCTCAATTTGTTCTTTGTATAATTGGTCAAAAATGGCTCTCTGAACTTTTTGAGTTGCCGACCTTATTATTGCCTTAGTTATTAACGAACAGCACAGACCACTTCAGTTCAGACCAGTTTCATGTTTAAGTCCAGATAATAGTTTGAGCGTCGATATTTAATCCTCCATTTGGAAATAAGTCCAAAGAGTTTAAAAGACTCTCGGGTGCATCCAATTTCTAATCAACCTTCTTACCCTTCACCTCTCTTCCTTATTATTCATATCATAATTGGAAGCATAAAATTACCCTAAGTGCATTTTAAATTATCTTAAAATGCGTTATATGTATGTTAGCCAAACCTGTTGCTGCCCTTAGCAGATGAAAAAAAGAAAGAAGCTTTCTGATGGAATCGGGTGCAGCCGAATTCTGCGCTCACATGCGTCCCCTACCCTGAGGCTGGCCTCACTTGGTGGCATTACAAGCCAAGGTTGAGCGCGATTAAGACTCATATTTGTGGTCAAAAACACAATTTATGAGCCATCCTCTCAACTGTAGACATTGCAAACCAAATATGTTTGAACTTTGTACAACAATAGACACGCACTATAATAGGAGCGCACTGGAATTTACAGATGTGTCCTATAATGTGCAATTCATGATAAAAGCACTTCCGGGTTTGCCGCGATTGCTTTTTTGTGTGCATAAGAACCTTCTTTTTTTTATTTAAACGTTAACAAATAATTCTAAAAACCCTCTGTGCATGTGTATTAACCCTTTAGGCGCCAGAGTTTTTTCAAGAAAATGTACAATTTTGATTTCAAGATTTCAAAAGGCTATAACTTTAAAATGGTTTGAGATAAAGGCATACTGTAAATTAGAAATATCTTCAGTCTGAACCAAACTTAGGGATCGAAGTTGATTCGTCATCTAATTTGCATATTCTGACGTCATCAAGGTGGCGGCCATTTTGGAAAATGTTAATTATTGTATAAAGACTTCAAAAAGCTGTAGCTTGGGAGTTATTTGAGATCAAGGAATACTATAAACAGTAAATGTGAAATATATCTTTAGTATGAAATGAATTTGGGATAGAAATAAATTCCCTGATCCAGATTATACATAATGTTTTAGCACTGGTTCGCAGCCATATGGAATTTTATTATTTTCAAAGACCTTCAGTGATCAAGACTGCACTCTTTATAGTTTACAGTCATGAAATCTGGAGATTGGTTTCAATATTTCCCTTTCAAAGAAGTAGTGGGCATACTATTTTTCTCAGTGGAAATGAGGCTCCAGGATTTATCGTGTAGAAACAGAGAGATGAAATGAATGGGCACAGAACATGTCAGATCGTCTCAACAAGAAACAACAGGCTCTTCAACACTTCTGGTCCACTTTTGTGGATTATTTTCTCTCAAGAACTGCCTTCATCCTCATCATTGCAGTTGGTAAAGGCAGTGAACGCAATAAGCGATGTGCTTTTTCCCGCGGCTTCTCCCGCGTCTTCCGCGATCCCCGCGGATGTCTACCCCGGCTACTTTCTCCCACATGCCCGGTGTTATGATGCCCCTGTCCCCTCGACCCCGGCCCCTGCTTGGCGTTCACAGAATGCTTCTACCGCGGCCACACGGAGGACAAGCAGCCGCTGTACTGGGGCTGATTGTGGACTATGGAGCGCTGTCTCCCCGTCACCAATAATGCCCGAGTCTGCTTCACTGGACACCTGCGTGTCTTCCTCCTCTGAATCTGAGTCAGCCAGTACCAGACCAAGTACTTCTCTGGTACTGAAGACCTCGTGAGTAAAAGAAAAAAACACTCTTTCCCTCTGCTCTGCTCTCGCTCCTCTCAGCTCTACCGCTGCTGCTTCGCCTCCGCGCTGCTGCGCCGCAGGTGTTTTACGAACTCAATTTACTCAAAAACTTTCAATATAACCACACCCACAAATGTTGCTCATATTACAGGCACACATGTCCACTAACCCCTGGTGAAAACTATTAACAAGATTCTGCTCCACATTTTTACATACAGCCTGTTTAAGTGAGCAATGTTGCTTGTCGCAATATTGCGACTTTGGCGCTTAAAGGGTTAACTCCTTTTGAAGATTGAAACGATTGGATCTGAGTTGGCCTGGATGGGATTTAAGTAATGTAATGCGCCCAAGCCCCAGTGATCCAAGATGGCATCCTGTTCAAATCAATGGCCGGTGCTCAGTGGCGCATGGGACAGCCATGGGACCGAAAGATTAGCGGAACTCAGCCATATTTGGGCATCTTCTGGTCCACCCGCCTCCCCCGCTTGCTGAATGGTTGAATGGGATACAACCGAGGTAACCGCAGCCAATAGGATCAAACCCAGACATACATGTAGGGAAATAATAATTGACCATAGTTAACAGATGGCTAAGGACAGGCTAGTCGCAGCCCTGTGATAGTTTAAAATAAGAAAAGATAGACTTTATTGATCTCACAATGGATATATTTACATGTCACATTTGGCCTTATCAGGATAACTCAAATATTGCAAACAGGAAATGTGCAACATGTTAAAAAGTGAAAAGATAGTCTTTTTTGTGCAAGATATATAATGTACAATTCAGTTAAAAGTGACTATAGCAGTGCAAGTGTACAGTCCTAGTGCAGGCTATTAAGTGATCGCACGGAACAAGCCCCGGCGATCCAAGATGGCGCCCTATTCAAATGAATGGCTTGTGCTTAGTAGCGCATGGGACTTCATGGAGACCGGGAGATTAGAAGAACTCGCCTATATTTGGGCATCGTCCGGTCCTCACGGTTCTGCGCATTGGATTATCTCCCATGATGCATTGCGCTATCTCCCATGATGCGTCGCGCCAAACGGGCGTGTGTGGCTTTCAAGCACGCGCACAGAGGGGCTTTCACCAATCAGAGCTGCTCATCAGAACAGCGGAAGAGCGGAGCCAGAGCGGGAAGGAAAGGAGCAGAGTTTGTGGCAGTAAAGTGTGGATTTAACACTAGGACCGCCGTGTTCTAAACATATCTTGCACCGCCCCCTGTGGTCAGTTGACCGCTATGTATTTTGCGCTGATAGAGCCTTTTGCCAAATTGATTGTTCACTAAACCAGAACTTGATGTTGCAAGGAAATCGTGATCATGCTGAAACAGTGTAAATTATTTGTCTAAATATAAGTAATTGTGATTCTAGCCGAAATAAAAGGCTAAGACGACACATTGTGCGTGTACTGATCCATCAAAATTACGATGACTTTTCAGACTAGATTTATTTTTTAACTTTGCAAACACGTAAAAGGTTGGCTACTGTATGTTAAATTTGACTTAGTAACAATATGTAAATTCAAACAATATAAATGATAGTTTAGAAAAGCACGGGACCATAACGTCTTTGCGCTGCTATATGCGTCTACTTCTTACGTCATCTCCAGACTGTTTGCTCTTTCCAGCCGAAATCACCGTGGGAAATATTATCTAGATAATAATAATAATAGTATTCGTATTGACACAAGATCATCAGCTAGGCTACCATCGTCAATGTAAAATCTTCAATTTTACACGGGACACGTTAGAAAGACATATATATATATTTGTATTTATTTGAGACAAGCAGTGCTCTTTATGATCAGAACAAAATTATAATCATTGCCTTGCAGTGTGCGCTGTGCACAATAACACAGTGTTATCTGGATAAAATAAGAATATGAATAAGAATATATGAGGGCCGCTTCTGCCCCACAGTCGTTCTCCTCCTGCAGGTGTCCGCGGGTGATTAGAGAGCGCTCTATCTGCACTCTGCCTTGATAGTTCATCTAATTGTTCTATTTTACTGCGATATTGTATTCTGCTGTATTGCCTTCTTATATGTATAAATATAATAATGTAATTGATGAATGAAAAGGCAGAATGGAGCGACAGCGCGCACACAGACACCTGCGTATGGCTGGCATTACGCGGGTCATGTGCGTTTTTGCTTCTGGACTTGTTACAACACTGCTGTCCGTGCCGTGAATGCACTATGGGTCTACGTTCAGATTTAGAATATTATAGGTGTTCTCCCCGCTGTCACTTTCTACCTCAAAATGTGACATCTCTCACCTCCGTTAGACTGTTCTCATTCAATGTCTTGAAGCACTGTCAGGGCTTCATACCGTTTACTTGCAGCTCTATTCATTTTGTACTCCTCTCAATTCAAAACTCTTTCTCTCTCCCAAATAATAATAAAAAAAAACTCAAGTCCCTTTAGAGTCTAATGACAACATATTGATACATTTTTATAAGGCGCGAAAAAACCCCGGGAAAGGTTACTATGACAACAGTCGCCCCTGCGCCATGTATCCCTATGGGGCAGCAGAAAGGGCTGTGGATTAGAAAAGTTAAAATGCGTGTAAATCTTGTTTTCTTTACTTTTTCCAAAACCAAAATCTGTAATTAATGTTGGTAAACCTCTATCTCTTATGTAAAGTTTCAGAGCTTAATTTTTTGTCTGTTTCAAACATAACAAAACTCTGCCGCCTGAAGGGATAATATGCAAAAATTATTATCAATATTTCTTCTTTATACTCTCTTTATTTAGTTAGTTAGGCACTTCTTAAAAAGGTAACTAAGTTTCATCAGTATAAACGGGGAATATTCATCAAAGTTAATGGAAATGTGGGCTGCCCTTTGTTCCGTTCCAATTACACTGGTCTCTAATCAGCGGCGTCAGGGGCCCTCACAGATGAAGCATTAGGATTTGGGGCACACGCTTTACTGTCAGCACACTGGGAGATTAATGGACAAACACAGACCCAGCAGGAGCTCAGCCAAACAGGACTGAGCGGTGACAGGTGCCCTTCAACTCATCAGGTCACCACAACTTTTAAACAAGCCAGAAAGGTGAGCTAGTTTGGGACTTTGGGAGATTTAGAGGCTCCAATTATGAGAAAAATGTTCAAATGTAGATTTCCACTTCACATACTGCACACAGTGAAACGTACAGTGGTGTAGTGTGTGTGCCCACTAAACAATCCATTCTTTCATTACACTCAGTACAAGCATGCAAATTAATTGTACATGGTTTTAGCGGTAGGGGAAACCTACGCAGACACAGGGAGAACAGGTAAACTTCTGGAGGTGGAATTGAACTCAGGACCTTCTTGCTGTGATGCACAAGCAATAAGTAATGTAATGTTTATTTATATAGAGCATTTTAGAGATGGTCACCAGAATAGGGTTGGGAACCTAAGGGTACCTCACGATACGATACGATACACGATACAAATCTCACAATAACGATAATATCACAATAACGATAATATCACAATAACGATTTTATCAAAATATGACGATTATTGATATATCGGTCAGAAATATACCATATGCCAATTTATGGCATAAATAAAATTTAAAAAAATTAGTTAAATTAAAGCCGCAAGCGGCGATGAAAGGCCTCGCCCCTCTTGCGACCGCCTCCTGGGCGCCAGTCCCACAAGCGTCACGCCGACGAATTGGCAGCCCGATCTGACCAGGATTACGAATATAAAAGCTCATTTATATGATAAAGTGCGTCCCTAGTGGTCACCTCCGGGACATGCACCCTCTACGTAGAGTAGTATTTTGCTCGTATAGATGTAAAGATTTGATTTTCCAACTTTGGTGAAGATCGGAAAAGTTTAGGTCAGAAGCCTTACATAGGTGGCGCTGTAGAGTCATAATAGGTGTGTGTTTTCACACCATTACTCTCAGGTCATTACCAACTGTTAGTGATGTGAGTTTCAGCTCTGTAGGTCTGAGCCTGTGGTCACGAGAGCATCACACATGGAGAAATTCCCCACTACCTCGCATGAAAACGATAACAAAAAATCTAACTTTTTTGCGATGATTGCATAACTTCAATCCGTCCAGATGGAGAAATGACATGGTAGAAGTCTGTGCGATGAAAATCCAGGGACTAGTATGAAGCCAAAAATGCGACACCTTGAACTGCCTGTAGGTGGCGCTGTTGCACTCACAGTTGTGTGTTGCATATCGTTGTGTTCAAGGTAATACGCTGTATTTCTGAATTCATTTTTAGCCTCATCGGACAAACATTTTGCCCCATAAAGCTCATTAATTCACTTTCTGGCGCCCCCAGTGGTCAGGTGTAGGACTTACAACTTTTGCGTGGTGTAATGTGTTGCTCGTCTCGGTCCAGAGAATACACTCAGCGATTTTCGGGCCGATCCGTGCTCTAGTGCCCTATTACTTTCCGACAGGTGGTGCTAAAGAGCTCGAATTTGGCGAATGATTTTAGTGTCATTGCGTTCAGGCCATAACTTAATATTACTGATGTGAGTCTCAGCTCTGTAGGTCTGAGCCTGTGGCCCTCAGGGCTCAGCGAAAATGGCCAAAACAAAGGCCTTATTCGCCATGGCGAGGGACGAAAACGGTGAAGATGTTCTAACTTTTTTTTGATGATTATATAACTTCAATCCGTCCAGATTGGGAAATGACGTGGTAGAACTCTGTGTCATGAAAAACCAGGGACTAGTTCGAAATTATAAATGAAAAGTCAAATTGGCGGCGAAACTTCAGCCCATCATGGCTGACTTTCCTGCTTAGACCGGCTTTTATGCTCGTCTCATACAGATCTATCACTCATCCGAATTTCGTGTACCTACTCCAAAATATACAATCCTGCCTCCAATAGAAATGGCAAATTTTGAATTTTCAAGGGGGCGCTATTGATTCGCCTTTTGTCGGACAATCTCGAAACGTCCGTTTTATAAACATTTTCGCCGAACCGGTCGTTTTAGACCCCCATGTGCAGACTTTCGTGCATGTCTTCAGGGTCAAAAATCAAATTGTTTCGGCGGAAAAAGAATAATATGAAACCACCGAATAACAATAGGCCAGGGGTGCTCAATACGTCGATCGCGATCTACCAGTCGATCGCAAAGGTAGTATTGGTAGATCGCATTAAATAAATAAAAAATTACACATTCTAAACGAATATATACAAAAAACTCCGGGCAAAGTGGAGATTTTTGAAAACTCCGTTATTGCATTTGTGTGTAGACAGAGATAACCGGAGTTTTGCGTTCTCGCACGCCACAGTACCCCCCTAAATTCCTCTGATCACTGAAGCATGGATCATACTACCTTAAAAACTGTTCGCTGTGAGATGCTCGCAGCAGCGAACATCCTCGCTCCACATCAGAGAGCAGCAAAGTGATCGCGGGGACTCACGCTCGAAAACAACCAAACCAGGACTAAACCAGGACTAAACCAGGACTGAGGACGGGGTCAGTGCTTGTAAACATACGTCTTGCTCTTTACTCTGAGTGTCTTCTATGACTGTAAAAGTAACGTTACCGGCGTCTGCATCAGAACTCCGCCCACTTCTGTGATTTTCCCCAACGCAGGACAGGACGTAAGAGACGCACATGTTTGGAATGTTACGAATGTGATTGATAACGCAGATGTGTGGATGCAAATTATTTTATAAACGGAGGAGGGGAAATATTTGGATTTAAAAAAAACAGGCATGGCACATTGACATGGCACCACAGTCAAATGACATCTGTGTTTTACTCAGTAATGTTTTACTGACACTTAGGTGACTACACATGCGCAAACAACCGCGCTCAGTGCAGGAAAGCTAAACCACGACAAACTTGTCAGCGAGTTACCACCAATTTTCCGGACTAAGCATCCCTGGCCGATTCAATTCAGTGCAAGTCATAAGAGTAAACTCGGGTAATGACAAAAAATGTACATAGGTAATTGTGTTGTGTTGTGCTATATTGGCTCATGCGGTTTTGCATGTACATAAACATACATTGTAGATATAAAGAATATTTTTTGAAATATATGATTTGCATTTTTGTAGTAGGTAGATCATTTTGACTTGATCCTTTTATAAGTAGCTCGCATGCTGAAAAAGTGTGAGCACCCCTGCAATAGGCTAATAAAAATACTACTTTATTTCATGATAAATTGAATGGAGATGCGTAATGTATCCATGTTATTAAGTATTTATATTATTTAGTATAGTATTTTTTTTATCTTCATGTTTTGAGATTTCATAACACTTTGAACAGCAACTTTGTTTAAAGTTAAACCATCATTCTATCAATGTTGCAGAAGCCGTAATTTTCCTTGTTTTGTCTATCTGAAGGCCAAGGCTAACAAGCACACCGTGGGAAGCTGCTGATTGTCATAGAGGTCTCCATGCCTCCCGCTCTGTTTATAACACACTTGCATTCTATTGTATCTGTGTTCGTGGTTCGTGCTTGTCTCTCTCTACATGACAATAAACATGTCTTCTGTCAGAATTTAAGACGCGATCCCAGGGGACTATGTCCTTCTTTCCTCTCAATGTCAATGAACGGTCTGTGTCTCAAAAGAATAAGTCTGCCACCAGTGTTTTATGAACAAACAGTCAAATGATTTAGTATGTTTTCATTGTGCACTGTATTTAGTGAGTTTATAATTGTTAGGTACTGTATGTCTTTCACATATTTTCTGCATATGCTCTTTGCTATTTCTACAGCATTGTGCAACAAAAATAGCACAATACTTATTTACGTAGAACAACATACAAAACACTGAGTCACGTGTGACATTAATCGCAGCAGTTTTCATTTGTAACAGATTACAATGCTTTTCGTTTTTGTTTAGTTACTTTCATACATTCTCCTGTTTTATAACAATCATTCATTTGGCTCTGTCTGGTTAGTCAAAATAAAACTTATCACGACTGAATAGTTTCTCCCTGTAAAACTAAGTCATTCATGGCTTTGGTCATCACATATAAAAACTGTTGAACTCGTTCAATAGCCAAAAGCTGTCCACTCTGATTTATACAGTACTTTATTCCTTTCCTTACATCCTGAACATTTTTTCCTAACACGACAAGGTCGTGTTTTTTATTGTTTACATTTGTCACAGTTCTACCATAATGATATTCTGTATGTTTGTTCTATGTACATACATGTATGGACTGTATTTTTGTTGCACAATGCCTGTAGATAGGAACTGCAAAGACAAATGCAAGTAAATATGTGAAAGACATACATCGATACATACATGAATACACACACCACAAACAGTACATATAATGTGTATTTTTTTACTCTCACTAAATACAGTCGTGTGTAACTTTACTGTAGTATTCAGCTGTACAGTGATTTAGTTGCTCACCAAGATCAGATTTTTTGCTTTGAAAAAAGGCAGAGAGAGTAAAGTGTCACATTGAACAACAAGTCAGTTGAGTATTTGACTGTTGTTCTACTCAAAGTTGTCAGGACTTGTCAGGTACAACGACAATATCATTGACATAGAAGACTTGCTTTTGAGGAATAAACTTTTCATTATGAGAAGGTGATGCCTTTGGCAAGTTATCCACCAGGTTTTTTTTTTTTTTTGGGCAGTTTGAACTAATTGTTCTGAAAAATGCTCCTACAGTGTGATGTATTCCATTTAGTCGAAAATCAAGAATGTATTGATTCTTTCAATATTCAATGGATTGAATTTTGACCCTCCTCTTCTTTTTCTTTCTCTTTTAATTTACTGCAAAATTAGATATGTATTTGACATTGCCAGTATTATTCTAACAAAAATCACGCAGTCCTAAATAATCCACAACCACCAAGCTTTTTTAATGCACAGGAGAACAATTAGGCTAACTTTAAACCAAATAAAACAAAATCGGACCTGTCCGAATCGTGTGTCTATGCTTCGTGTTGTCTCTGGTTCTCGTCCAAGTTGTCTATGATCCCGCGTGTATCCGCCTGTCTGGGTTCTGTCTGCGTTATATGTAAATGTTTTATTATTATTATTATTATTAATCTCTTTATTTAGGACACCATTTTCAAACACGGTCCATAGTTAATACCCCATCCCCTATCACCCCCCCCAAACGCCCCCTCACCGCGTCTCTTTGGTTAGTGGTTCGTGCTCTTCGAATACGATATACAAGAAAAACAAACAAAGAGAAATTACAGGCTGCTGAAAAGTATAAAGGCATAAACCTCCAGTAAGTCATAATTTGGAGGTGAACAGCAGTGAGCAGAACTCGGGGCTGGACGTCGAGAGTCTTAACAATCACTTAATTAGAGTTCCTCAGACGACACATAAATCTGAACGAAACAGTTCGAAGAGATGCAGAACAAGATTCAAACACCACAGTAAGCATAACATCTCACTTGCGCTGCTGTGCCGAGGAACTTTCGGCTGAGCCTCAACGGTGTTGGTTATAGGCCACAGTGGTTTCTGCAAACTGGACTTTTTAACTACTCTTCCAAAGGTAAGCAGTGTACATAGCGTGAGCAGTAAGAATGTAATGTTAAATGTAAATCTGAAAACTGTAAATGTAAATGTAAATGTCTGTCTGTGGTTCTGTTCGGGTGTCTTATGGTCCTCGTCTGTGGTTCTGTCCGTGTGTCTATGGTCCGCAGCTCGGAGCCCAGACGGAGCTGCGTTCACTGAGACTGTCAGGAACTGGGGGGTTCACAGCAGTTGCTCCCGGGGCCAGAGCGGCCGGATGTAACGTAACGTTCGTTTATCAAAACATATCCACATAAATTTATCGTATAACACCTAGTGAATTTCACCTAGCTTTTTTCAGACATTAAATGACAAGATGTTATATATTAATTGTTTAATGGTAAAAAACTATCTTGCCAAAAAAATCCCGACTATTCTAGACCTTTTTTTATGTTTACTCGATCGTGCCTGCGTGTCTCTCCGACGGGTTTCTCCATAGTGAGCACTATATGTTATACGTGTTTGAAATGTTAATTTAGTAATGACAGGGTTAGACCTTAATTTGTTAAAAGACCAAACAGGGTTAAAGCTGGGGTTTGTGACCTTATAGCTAGGTATGTGACTTTAAAGCTGAGGTATGTGACTCCAAAGCTGCCTATGTATCTTTCAGTTCTCTCTGTGGGTGGACGCGGTGGTCTTCGTCTTCTCCCTCGAGGACGAGATCTCCTTTCAGACGGTGTTCCATTATTTCAGTCGTTTGGCGAATTTCAGGAACACCACCGACCTGCCGCTGGTCCTGGTGGGGACACAAGGTGAGAACCAGAGTGAGAGACCAGAGTGAGAGACCAGAGTGAGAGACCAGAGTGAGAGACCAGAGTGAGAGACCCATGGCGACAGTCCTGTTCAGAGCTTCTGTTGCTGTGGTTCATAGTCCACACCATAAAACACCAGGAATCTTCTGAGTTCATGATTTCTACTTATCTGAAAAACACACACAGAAACTCTGTATCGTACATAGATTAATGAGGCTAAAAGATTTCTGGAAGATAAGATCAGATAACACTTCCGGTGGCACTGCCCTGCTGCGTTTGTGTACTTGTCTCTAATTTAGAAGCAACAGAAAGACAAAATATGTTGATGGTGAAAGGACTGTTTATTGTACTCCTAATCCAGCTGGTACTGGGACACACTATGCCGGAGCCTAGTGCGCCCATGCCTCTAAGCTACAGGACAGAGCAGCTCCTGGTTCTCTGTCCCAGCAGCAGTCACACACCCGTACCTGCTTTACCGATAGAACTGCTGTGCACCCCGACTAAAGGTCGAATGAGTCGCACGCGGAAGAGAGGAAGATGAGGAGGAGTGTGGCAGATACTTTGTAGAAGGGCGAACAGGCCACCGCTAACTTCAATACTTCGAACACTAAAGAACAAAGCTCCAGGCTCCTGCACAAGTACCATGACTCATGCCTGCTCATGCCCAGGAGGACGTTCCTGATGCATTTGGAGCACCCTCATGTGCTCGTCTGTTACTGATTGACTTTAGTTCAGCGTTCAACTCGCCACAACCACATCTTCTATTGAGGAAGTTGTCTGAACTTAATCTGCATCCATCCACAATTAGATGTTAAAAGTAATTTTTATGGAATCGTAGTCAGCGAGTCAGCCTGAACCGTACACTGTCAGGGAGCAGACTTTTGAGCACATGAGCACCGCAGGGTAGTTCAGGTGCTGAGCAGCAGAGGGCGCCATCGCTCTGTGACTGAAGTCTGCTCATTTCCTCAACAAATGCATACATCCATGACTCTAGTTCTGGCTCTAAAATGTTGTTTCTGTCACTCATTTCACATCATGTATTTGTGATGTCACATCTGTAGAACAAAGAGAGGACCACCCTCACTCAGCCAATCAGTTCTCAGCCCAAAGAGGCAGATAGTGACTCTCAAGGCTCTTCAGACAAAAGATATTGTTTTCTCTCCGGTATTGTGAGAGACATAATACAGTTTAGTTCTTTAACCTTTACCCACATGTCAGGAGTGTGTCCGAGACTGAGGCCGTTCATCCCTGCTTGCAGCTGTAACTCCCTCTCTGCAGTCCATCCCTGCTTGCGGCTCTAACTGCCCTCTCTCCGCACAGATGCCATCAGCTCGGTGAATCCTCGTGTTATTGACGACTCTCGAGCTCGAAAACTGTCCAACGAACTGAAGCGCTGCACTTACTACGAGACCTGCGCCACCTACGGGCTGAACGTGGAGCGAGTGTTCCAGGACGGTGAGTCTGTTGGACCAGGAGCAGGACAGAGACCAGGACAGAGACCAGGACAGAGACCAGGACATGAAGAAGAAGCTGATTCTGTCGGGGGTGACACTCAGAGCTGCACCCAATGCTCATAGCACTGACCTTTTGCTGATTCTCCTGCAGGTGGCGTCCTCGCTTCACTAACGTACACATGCACATATACACACATATACACTAGGGTTTAATATTTTTCCCGAAAATGTCTCATATTCCGGGAAATGACTGTTTTTTTGTAGTTGTTGTTTTTAGCCCAAGTAATGTATGATATCACTCAAATATGTATAATATTAAACATAAATCCATCAAAAAATCTCCGCTAGTGTTTCACCAAGCGATTTGCTAGCTTTGCTAAAGTAGCCATTTAGCATGTGGCTCTTTAGTGCCCCTTGAGTGGCTCCTGGAGCCTTTTCAAAAATGTCTAAAAATAGAGTGGGAGGGCTATATTTTATTTCTAGTTTCAATGTGGTTTCTGTAGGAGGGACAACATTCTTAACGTTTTCCAATACAATAAAAATGTGCATAAGAAATATTCAATTTTAACATTTGTGTCAACTGAGATTTGCGTCATATCCTGCGATGCGCGGTTACGCTGCCCCGCGCCGGGCGGCCGCTGTTGTAAACAAACCGGCATGTGCCACATGAGTCCGCATAAATCCCAAAGCTAAAAAGGGAAATGGTTGATAAGAACCAGGAACTCAAGGAAGAATGAACTGGAACATTTGTTTTCATTGTCAATGAGCAAGGACTGCTTCATGTTTGCTTTGTAATGAGAATATATTGAAGAACAAAAAGAGTCATGTGGAAAATCGGCTGCTGACCCCAGTTTGGAGACAAACAGTGTGATCGCAGTTATTCTGGAGCGGATTCATCTCCAAACTTCTACTGAATTTTGTTGCAACACGAGGAACAAGCAAGTGCGAAACACTGTTCGGGACATTCAGCTCCAGCGAACTCCAGCCGTGACGACGTGTGACGTGATCGATATGAACAGACAGTGCTGTAATGCAGGTATGAGAACTGAGCCAAAAACGGATTTATTTACTGTATTTCTACAATTGCATGAACGCAACAAAAGGAAAGTTAAATTTAAAGCATATATCGTATAGCAGAGTAGTCACATGGTGCGTCACTGTCTTGCACTACAGTGAAAATGTATATATATATAATAATCATGAATGCATATTATGTATTTGTAGCCTATACTTACTCATTTTGATACTAGGCTAATACAGCTTACAGCCTGTGTTGCTTTCATATAAGCCTTAAAAAAGGCAGTAAAGTGTATGCGGCTCAATTTGTTCTTTGTATTTTTGGTCAAAAATGGCTCTTTGAACTTTTTGAGTTGCCGACCTTATTATTTCCTTATTTATTAACGAACAGCACAGACCACTTCAGTTCAGACCAGTTTCATGTTTAAGTCCAGATAATAGTTTGAGCGTCGATATATAATCCTCCATTTGGAAATAAGTCCAAAGAGTTTAAAAGACTCTCGGGTGCATCCAATTTCTAATCAACCTTCTTACCCTTCACCTCTCTTCCTTATTATTCATATCATAATTGGAAGCATAAAATTACCCTAAGTGCATTTTAAATGATCTTAAAATGCGTTATATGTATGTTAGCCAAACCTGTTGCTGCCCTTAGCAGATGAAAAAAGAAAGAAGCTTTCTGATGGAATCGGATGCAGCCGAATTCTGCGCTCACATGCGTCCCCTACCCTGAGGCTGGCCTCACTTGGTGGCATTATAAAGCCAAGGTTGAGCGCGATTAAGACTCATATTTGTGGTCAAAAACACAATTTATGAGCCATCCTCTCAACTGTAGACATTGCAAACCAAATATGTTTGAACTTTGTACAACAATAGACGCGCACTATAATAGGAGCGCACTGGAATTTACAGATGTGTCCTATAATGTGCAATTCATGATAATAGCACTTCCGGGTTTGCCACGATCGCTTTTTTGTGTGCATAAAAACCTTCTTTTTTTCATTAAAACATTAACAAATAATTCTAAAAAACCTCTGTGCATGTGTATTAATAATAAACATGTATAATGTGTTCTCTGATTAACATTTCAAAGTGTTACGGAAACGTAGGTGTAGACCAATCAGAAAGGAAGGGGGAGGGAGCTTGCGTGGTTTTTTTCAAATCAAGTACCTCTCTGTCTGTCTCTGACAAACTCCAGACAATCACTTTAAAGAATTTATTTGTAAATGATGGTGAAAAATAAGTATTTGGTCACTTCAAACAAGGAAGATCTCTGGCTCTCACAGACCTGTAACTTCTTCTTTAAGAAGCTCTTCTGTCCTCCACTCGTTACCTGTATTAATGGCACCCGTTTGAACTCGTTATCTGTATAAAAGACACCTGTCCACAGCCTCAAACAGTCAGACTCCAAACTCCACTATGGCCAAGACCAAAGAGCTGTCAAAGGACACCAGGAAAAGAATTGTAGACCTGCACCAGACTGGGAAGAGGGAATCTACAATAGGCAAGCAGCTTGGTGTGAAGAAATCAACTGTGGGAGCAATTATCAGAAAATGGAAGACATACAAGACCACTGATATTCTCCCTTGATCGCAAGATCTCATCCTGTGGGGTCAAAATGATCATTAGAACGGTGATCAAATATCCCAGAACCACACGGGGGGACCTGGTGAATGACCTGCAGAGAGCTGGGACCAAAGTAACAAAGGTTACCATCAGTAACACACTACGACGACAGGGAATCAAATCCTGCAGTGCCAGACGTGTCCCCCTGCTGAAGCCAGTGCATGTCCAGGCCCGTCTGAAGTTTGCCAGAGAGCACATGGATGATACAGCAGAGGATTGGGAGAATGTCATGTGGTCAGATGAAACCAAAGTAGAACTGTTTGGTATAAGCTCAACTCGTCGTGTTTGGAGGAAGAAGAATACTGAGTTACATCCAAAGAACAGCATACCTACTGTGAAGCATGGGGGTGGAAACGTCATGCTTTGGGGCTGTTTTTCTGCTAAGGGGACAGGACGACTGATCTGTGTTAAGGAAAGAATGAATGGGGCCATGTCTCGTGAGATTTTGAGCCAAAACCTCCTTCCATCAGTGAGAGCTTTGAAGATGAAACGTGGCTGGGTCTTCCAGCATGACAATGATCCCAAACACACCGCCCGGGCAACGAAGGAGTGGCTCCGTAAGAAGCATTTGAAAGTCCTGGAGTGGCCGCGCCAGTCTCCAGACCTCAACCCCATTGAAAATCTGTGGAGGGAGTTGAAAGTCCGTGGTCACTGCTCTCGAGAAGATCTGCATGGAGGAATGGGCCAAAATACCATGTACTGTGTGTGCAAACCTGGTAAAGACTTATAGTAATCGTTTGACCTCTGTTATTGCCGACAAAGGTTATATTACAAAGTATTGAGTTGAATTTTTGTTATTGACCAAATACTTATTTTCCATCATAATTTACAAATAAATTCTTTAAAAATCCTACAATGTGAATTGCTGGATTTTTTTTCACATTCTGTCTCTCACAGTTGAAGTGAACCTATGATGAAAATTACAGAACTCTGTCATTATTTTAAGTGGGAGAACTTGCACAATCGGTGGCTGACTAAATACTTTTTTGCCCCACTGTACACATATACACGTACACACATACACACATACACATATACACATACATATATATTTTCAAAGTGTTATATTTGTGGAAATAGATAGAAGTCTTCAAAGCCTCCGCAGATCGTTCCTGAGCTCTGACAGATACGCAAAAACCTTCAGACGAGTTTCACATTTGGTTTTTGAAAGACTTAAAATCCTCTGAGATGGTCTCCCCTTGGTCCTGATACAGAACTGCGTTTAGACCAACAAGATCATGACATTTGACTGATTTAGATTTGATAAACAGGGAATTAGTGAGTGCATAATTGTCATCAGATGGCCTTCTATCAGAGCGGATCCAGAGACACTTTCACCCATTCCTCTGCACAAAACAACTCTGTCAGGTCTGTCAGAATTGTTTGGGTCTCTCTTTCTCTGGTCCCTCTCTCTGGTCTATTTCTGGTCTCTCTCCCTTGTCTCTCTCTCTGGTCTATTTCTGGTCTCTCTCCCTTGTCTCTCTCTTTGGTCTATTTCTTGTCTCTCTCTCTGGTCTATTTCTGGTCTCTCTCTGGTCTGTCTTTCTGGTCTCTCTCTCGGGTCTCTCTCTGGCCTATATCTGGTCTCTCTCTGGTCTCTCTCTGGTCCCTCTCTCTGGTCCCTCTCTCTGGTCTCTCTTTCTGGTCTCTTTCTGGTCTCTTTCTGGTCTTTGTTCCAGTCCCGGGGGAAGGTGACTTTTGTCGTTTTAATTTGTTCTAATTAGTGTTAATGACGCTGAAGATTATCACTTTTACAGCTTCATATTATTCTAAGATTCACTATAGGCCCAGGACCAAGAGCAGACCAGGACCAGGAAGGTACCAGACCAGGATCAGACCTGAACCAGGACCAGACCTGAACCAGGACCAGGACCAGACCTGAACCAGGACCAGGACCAAAACCAGACCAAGGCTCACAGGACTAACAGAGCAGAGTGTGGTACAGTGAGTGTCCACCAGGGGGCAGTGCAGCCTCACACTCAGAGGAACCACCTGTTCTGATGGAAATATCAAATGTTACATTTTTAAAAACACTGATATTATTCTAAATATTTTACTTAAAACAAAAAATATATTTAATATGACAATAATATATTTTAAGTATATTTTTTCTTGCACACTTTATGGAAAATAATAAGATATGTATTTGTTGATGGACTCTCTAGTTAATCTTGTTTGTCCTGGTCTGTCCTGGTTAGTCCTGGTTAGTCCTTTGTCTGATCTCTTTGATTCTCTGATCTTTGTAAAGTCCTCAGACTTGGTTCCGACCTGCTTTTAGATGGGGTTTTAGTCCACCTTCAGTCCCTCTTAGACCTGGTCTCTCTTCAGACCTGGTCTTAGACAGTTTTAGACTCTCTGGTTCAGACCGTGTTTTAGTACTGTTTTAGACCTGGTTTGGACCTAGTTTAGACCTGGGCTTAGACCTTGTTTCAGTGTTGCTTTAGACCCTCTGCAGACCTGGTTTGGACCTGTTATAGACCTGGTCCTGGTCCGGTCCCCTCTCCTCATAATTGAATCCTATAATGAGCCCATTAGCATTCCCCTCGTTAGCTCATAGCTGTTAGCTCGTAGCCGTTAGCTCGCGCTCGGACACGGCGGTAATTACTCGTTTAATTTGACCTCAATTAAACTCAGGGGACTCTAAAGACGCTGTGCTCTGATTGGTCCATGGCTCGTTAAGAGGCGCGGCATTAAACAGCTTTAATTATGCAAATGAGCCGAATGTCAGCTCTCTGTTTAACGACATCAGAGAGACCCCCAACCCCTCTGTCATAGGCTCTGCTTTCAAACTACTGCATTTTATGCTGGGGCTTTTGTCTCATAAAAAACACGTGTTTAAAGCTGGGGTTTGTAACTTTAAAACAGTTCCTTCTGTCACTAGTTTCACGTCATGTATTTGTGATGTCACATCTTTAGATCAAAGAGAGGATCACCCTCACCGAGCCAATCAGCGCAAGTGTTGTTTATGAGACTTAAGTTTCACCAACTGTGTCTGTTCTCCTCAGCCCTCAATAGTGCTGCTTTTATGGTCCAGAGAGACCTCTCTCAGGTCTCTCTGGTCTCTCTGGTCTCTCTGGTCTCTCTGGTCTCTCTGGTCTCTCTGGTCTCTCAGGTCTCTCAGGTCTCTCAGGTCTCTCAGGTCTCTCAGGTCTCTCTGGTCTCTCTGGTCTCTCTGGTCTCTCTGGTCTCTCTGGTCTCTCTGGTCTCTCAGGTCTCTCAGGTCTCTCTGGTCTCTCTGGTCTCTCTGGTCTCTCTGGTCTCTCTCTCTGGTCTCTCAGGTCTCTCAGGTCTCTGCTCTCTGCTCTCTCTGGTGTCTCAGGTCTCTCAGGTCTCTCTGGTCTCTGGTTTCTGGTCTCTCTGACCTATGCTGGTCTGGTTGCAGTGGCTCAGAAGATCGTGTCTCTGAGGAAGAAGCAGCAGCTCTCCATTGGCCCGTGTAAATCATTGCCAAACTCACCGTCTCACTGTCCTGGGACTGCTCCTGCTGCTACTGTAGCACCACCGCTAACACAGGTGAGGCTAATGCTAACAGAGGCTAGTGTTAAGACAGGTGAAGATTATGCTATCAGAGGCTATAACCCTAGCTCACACTGGTCAGAGCATGCTAACACATGGACATTTTTTTGTTGCGTTCTGTCCCAGACGGCTAACGGCTCCGGAGTGGGTGGAGCTCTGAGCGACTACTCGTCGTCTGTGCCGTCAACGCCGAGCACGAGTCAGAAAGAGTTGCGTATCGACATCAACAACACGGTTAACAGCGCAAACGCTAACAACACGCCCACGCCAGTGCGCAAGCAGAGCAAGCGCCGCTCCAACCTCTTCACGGTGAGAGACAGGAAGTTATTCATTATTCATCAGGTACCGGACCCCAAACCGGGGTTTGGGAACCACTGGCCGAGAGGACAGGCACGTCCCCTAGAGGACAGACACCATCGCTAAAGGACAGACACCCCCCTGGAGGACAGAGACGTCCCCTACAGGACACTTAGAGGTCCATCTGTCCTGCATTGATCAGATTTATTGACCAGATTTATTGACCATCACAAACTGTGTTTTTGTTTCAGTCTCGAAAAGCGACAGACGTCGACAAGAAGAGTCTGGAGAACAGAGCTGATAGCATCGGGAGCGGGAGAGCTATTCCCATCAAACAAGTGAGGAGGAAGAGCAGTCATAAGAGGCGCAGTCATAGGAGGCGCAGTCAGAGGAGGCGCAGTCAGAGGAGGCGCAGTCAGAGGAGGCGCAGTCAGAGGAGGCGCAGTCAGAGGAGGCGCAGTCAGAGGAGGTGCAGTCAGAGGAGGCGCAGTCAGAGGAGGCGCAGTCAGAAGAGGCGCAGTCAGAGGAGGCGCAGTCAGAGGAGGCGCCGTCAGAGGAGGTGCAGTCAGAGGAGGTGCAGTCAGAGGAGGTGCAGTCAGAGGAGGTGCAGTCAGAGGAGGCGCAGTCAGAGGAGGCGCAGTCAGAGGAGGCGCAGTCAGAGGAGGCGCCGTCAGAGGAGGTGCAGTCAGAGGAGGAGGCGCAGTCAGAGGAGGCGCAGTCAGAGGAGGCGCCGTCAGAGGAGGTGCAGTCAGAGGAGGAGGCGCAGTCAGAGGAGGCGCAGTCAGAGGAGGCGCCGTCAGAGGAGGCGCCGTCAGAGGAGGTGCAGTCAGAGGAGGTGCAGTCAGAGGAGGCGCAGTCAGAGGAGGCGCAGTCGGCGCAGTCAGAGGAGGCGCCGTCTCCTGATTTCTCTGTGGACTTTCCTCATTAAAACTGAAAGAACATTTATGTTGTTTTAAGTTTGGAGACAGTGGGAGGAACACGGGTCAGTGGCTCCAACTCGAGCTCCATGAGGCGACAGTGGATCTGATTATTATAATAGACTCACGAGGATCTTTTATTTATTTATGTTTTATTTAGACGCTGATGTTAGAGATGAATAATGAAGCTTAGTTTAGAGCTGCACGAGCCGACAGCCCTCATTATACAGACACACACACATACACACACACACACACACATACAGACTGATACACACATACATACATACAGACTGATACACACTGATACACACATACATACATACAGACTGATACACACATACATATACACACACACATACACACAGACTGATACACTCATACATATACACACACACATACATACAGACTGATACACACTGATACACACATACATATACACACACACATACATACAGACTGATACACACATACATATACACACACACATACATACAGACTGATACACACTGATACACACATACATATACACACACACATACATATACACACACACACTCACACACATACAGACTGATACACACTGATGCACACATACATACAGATACACACACACACACACACACACACACCAGGCCCCTGCCTCTTGTGCAGTGGTCATTATAATCCCACAGAGAGGCACTTGACTCGCCCCTGACACAGATCTGACGCGGCTCTAATCTGAGATCTGAGTGTGTGATGTCGCACCACAACACTGAGCCCACTTCACCATCATTATATTACACAGAGAACAGAGAGAGCAGCTTTAAAGAGCTCACCTCCACAGGGTGATGGTCCCACCAGGGTGTGTGTGTGTGTGTCTGTGTGTCTGTGTGTGTGTGTGTGTGTGTCTGCCGGAAAGACGACGTCCTTTCTCGTAGAGCTTTAATGTTGAGGAAAGCCTTTAGTCCTTTAGACCTGCTTTAGACCTGCTTTAGACCTGCTTTAGACCGTTTTTAGCCCTGTTTTAGACCTGCTTTAGATTAAACAAAAAAACAGGTGTTCAGTAGCAGCAAAAACATCCACACAAACAAAACATATACATTGATTCTAAAAAGCTAACAATAGTAATAATAATGAAATACAACAGCCCTTCAGGTCACAGCAGCGGAGGTGGAGTAGCCGCTTGGTTTGGACCATTTTTTCACAATTTTTCTGTTCTAGTCCAAAGTAAAATGCAAATTGCTTCATTAGCATTTTTCTAAAACTTAGCATTCCTCCAGTGGATTTTCACCTGATAAAAAAACCACGAACACTGTACTGCAGTAACATTTCAGTTAGAAAAAAGCAAAAAAAATAACAATTGTGAAACACAAAACAACTGTTTCAGAGCTACTTAGGACTTGCTGTCGTAGTTTTGCTTTAGACCTGCTTTAGTCCTGCTTTAGTCCTGCTTTAGTCCTGCTTTAGACCTGCTTTAGACCTGCTTTAGACCTGCTTTAGACCTGCTTTAGTCCTGCTTTAGTCCTGCTTTAAACCTGCTTTAGTCCTGCTTTAGTTCTGCTTTAGTCCTGCTTTAGTCCTGCTTTAGTCCTGCTTTAGACCTGCTTTGGACCTGCTTTAGACCTGCTTTAGTCCTGCTTTAGTCCTGCTGTAGTCCTGCTTTGGGCCTGCTTTAGTCCTGCTTTAGTCCTGCTTTAGACCTGCTTTAGTCCTGCTTTAGTCCTGCTTTAGTCCTGCTTTAGACCTGCTTTAGACCTGCTTTAGTCCTGCTGTAGTCCTGCTGTAGTCCTGCTTTGGGCCTGCTTTGGGCCTGCTTTAGACCTGCTTTAGACCTGCTTTAGACCTGCTTTAGTCCTGCTGTAGTCCTGCTGTAGTCCTGCTTTGGGCCTGCTTTGGGCCTGCTTTAGTCCTGCTTTAGACCTGCTTTAGTCCTGCTTTAGACCTGCTTTAGACCTGCTTTGGACCTGCTTTAGACCTGCTTTAGTCCTGCTTTAGTCCTGCTGTAGTCCTGCTTTAGTTCTGCTTTAGTCCTGCTTTACACCTGCTTTAGTCCTGCTTTAGTTCTGCTTTAGTCCTGCTTTAGTTCTGCTTTAGTCCTGCTTTAGTCCTGCTTTAGACCAGCTTTAGTCCTGCTTTAGACCTGCTTTGGGCCTGCTTTAGTCCTTATTTAGTTCTGTCATAGACTTGTCTTAGACCTCCTTCAGACTTGCCTGTTGTGAGATGTGTATTATGCTAATTAGGTGACAGCTGTATATTAGTGCTGTGACTTCTGTAATTATGCTAATTGCCTGTGCTCTGAGCGCGGCTCGTTTAGCGATGTCTCGTTAGTTTGTAAACACGTCTGAGTGACTCTACTGAACGCGCTCCATGGGTCACAAGCTCCGCCCCCGGTCACATGGTCCTGCGCTCGTTAGCTCGTTAGCGTTGGAGTGTTTCCCGCCTCCTGCCGCTCGTTAGACTCTGCACTTAACGAGCTCCTTATGAGGGCGGAGTCTGCGGCTAACGAGGTCCTAATGAAGTACAGAGACCAGGTTTGGACCAGACCAGAGAGAGACCAGGGAGAGAGAGACCAGGGAGAGAGAGACCAGGGAGAGAGAGAGCAGAGAAAAAGAGACAAGAGAGAGAGACAAGAGAGAGAGACAGAGAGAGACAAGAGAGAGAGACAGAGAGAGACAAGAGAGAGAGACAGAGAGAGACAAGAGAGAGAAACCAGAGAGAGAGAGACCAGAGAGAGAGAGACCATAGAGAGAGAGACCATAGAGAGAGACACCATAGAGAGAGACACCATAGAGAGAGAGACCAGAGAGGGAGAGACCAGAGAGGGACCAGATAGGGAGAGACTAGAGAGAGACTAGAGAGAGACCAGAGAGAGAGAGAGACCAGAGAGAGACCAGAGAGAGAGAGACCAGGGAGAGACCAGAGAGAGACCAGTTCTGCTCATTAGAAGCAATTAACAAAGATCAGATGTGATTTGGAGGCACTTAGACTGGAGAGGTTTATTTACCAGTCGCATACATTTGCACAAATCTGCATCTCATCATCATCATCTAGAGTCCAGCAGTACGACACACACAAACACACACACACACACACAGGGTCTGGTTATAAACCTGGTCTGATTGTAGTCCTGGTCTGGTTATAGACCTGGTCTGGTTATAGACTCTGTCGTTTTCTGATTTATGAATTGCACATTTAATTAATTCTGGTTTTAAATGAATCAAATCTAATGAGCCTCAAATTACGACTTTCCTCCATTTTATGTAATTAACAAAAGTGACCGCTGTAGACCTGGTCCAGAGAAAGAGCAAAGCAGGTCTAAAGCAGGTCTAAAGCAGGTCTAAAGCAGGTCTAAAGCAGGTCTAAAGCAGGTCTAAAGCAGGTCTAAAGCAGGTCTAAAGCAGGTCTAAAGCAGGAATAAAGCAGGACTAAAGCAGGACTAAAGCAGGACTAAAGCAGGACTAAAGCAGGACTAAAGCAGGACTAAAGCAGGACTAAAGCAGGACTAAAGCAGGACTAAAGCAGGACTAAAGCAGGTCTAAAATAGGAATAAACCAGGACTAAACAGCCCTCGTGTCCTGTTGTAAATTTCAGTCCTGATCTTGTCTCATTATTCGTGCGTCTAACGAGTTGTGGGCGGAGCTCGTTAACACGCTCGTTAATATTCGCGGTCTTAATTAGAGCCGTTGTAATTGGATTAGAGCGCGAGGGAAACGGAGCGAGACTGACGGCGTTTAGGACCGTGAAATTACACCAGAGGAATGATCTTCAGACCAGGGACCAGATCTGAACCCCGCAAGGCCAGTCCCTGTGCTCCTCAGAGTCTCAGCCGGAGGCCAGTCCCTGTGTATGTAGATTGACCTGGAAAGGTGCCTGGATTGACCCCTGTGTGACTCCACAGGCCAGGACTGAACCAGGTCTCATGTGCGTTTGGACAACAAGACGTTGAAGTGTTTTGCCCAACAACAAGGCCAGTCTTATCTAGGTCCAGACCAGGTCCAGGTCTGTTGTTCATGCATGGACTTTAGATTCTGATCTAAACTCATCCATCACTGAACAGTTCAACTGTCATTATCTGTGGATCTAGTTTTCAATCCTGGTTCACACCTGGTTCACACCTGGTTCAGACCTGGTCCAGACCTGGTCCAGACCTGGTCCAGACCTGGTTCACCCCTGGTCCAGACCTGGTCCATACCTGGTCCATACCTGGTTCAGACCTGGTCCAGACCTGGTTCAGACTATCGAAGTTTCTCTAGATAGAATATTTCTACAGAGTTTCCAATTTCTCAAGTTGTCCCTACGTGCTGCACTGCAACATCCTCTGTGCGATGTGCAAAGGTTTGGTGCGTGGTATCCTCTGATAAACTTAAAGGTTATTGTTGCATAAAAACATTAAACTATTTCTTTCCGTGTGCGACTGAGTCCACAAAGACACAAAATGGCCGCCATGTCCGGCTGATAAATGACTTCTGTCTTTTTTGTGACACGTTCGATACGAACACAAAGCATCATGGGAGTTCTGTCGGAGTCCAGACCTGGGTGTGATCCCAGTCCTGATCTGGGGGCTGATCCAGGCTTTGTCCAGTGAGACAGGATCACGTCCGGTCTCAAACTGGACTAAAGAAGGTCTAAATGAAAGATGAGAGATAAGGGCCATTATACACTTAAGATAAGAGACACCAGGTCTAAAGCAGGTCTAAAGCAGGACTAAAGCAGGACTGAACCAGGACTAAAGCAGGTCTAAAGCGGGTCCAAAGCAGTTCTAATGCAGGTCCAAAGCAGTTCTAATGCAGGTCCAAAGCAGTTCTAATGCAGATCTAAAGCAGTTCTAATGCAGATCTAAAGCAGTTCTAATGCAGATCTAAAGCAGGACTATAGCAGGACAAAAGCAGTACTAAAGCAGGTCTAACGCAGGTCTAGTCCAGGTTCCTATATCTCTGCTCTGTCCTGTTAAGTTGATGTAGAGTGATATAAAAGTAGTAAATGAGTGAATCAGAGACAGACAGATGATGGTGGAAAGGCCACAGTCCCACAGGCCGCCATCACTCACCCACCGCCACCACTGAGGGATCACCCACAGAGACATACATTCTCAGCCCCCCCTTGGCTAGACCCACACCCTCAGTCCAGACCCACATCCTCTGTCCAGACCCACACCCTCAGTCCAGACCCACACCCTCAGTCCAGACCCACACCCTCAGTCCAGACCCACACCCTCAGTCCAGACCCACACCCTCTGTCCAGACCATAGACTGTATATATTAACGGACAGAGTCACGCCTATCTCCGCCGTTCATAGGAGTTGGCCATGAAAAGTGCTTTCATGGAGCAATCCAAGATGGCCGCGAGTGGTCCCGCCCACAAGAAAATTGTGAAAAAACGCATCTGCGCATGCGTCAGCCGGCGCAGCTACATTCATTTGAACGAGAGACTTAAAAAATTCCCCGCGAGTAAACTAGAGTGGACCAAAAAAATCCACCCCCCTCAGCATTGACACACATGTGGAACGGAGCTTTGGGCCAAGAGCCAACTTTTGGTCCATCCTGTAAAGACGTTTTATGTTATACATAATTTTAAAGATTGATATATCAAGATTACAACCGCAGCACTTATTGGACCACACACATTGAACCCTCAATGCTATAAGCAATTCATAAACTTTATAAACCCAATAAACCCAGTCTAACACTTTTCTTTTGTCCAGTTTAGTTTCAGTCACAATGTGGAGCCTAGAGCTCTGTTCTTTACAGATTTCTATTTTCTTTTAAGAGTGCCTCAGATGCCCCCATTTCTTCAGAGCTGGACTCATTCTGTTCATGAAAATATATTAAATTATATCTAACTCATATTCAGGGAAAGTAATGATTTGGTCCAAACTCCTTCATGATAAAAAGGCACAGAAACAAGCAATGAACAATAAAACCCTTAATTCTTGGTTTTACTGTTTGTCTCTGTTATGATACAAACCTTTACTTTCTGTTAGTGTTAAAGAATGAGAAGATGCACTTAGATACACAAAAATGTAGCCGTTTAAGTGGTTACATTACATGTGTGGGTGTGTGTGTGGACTGTGGGAGGATTTTACTTTAATTGCTTGCTGAACGGTGACGGACAGCTCTTGTTACCGCAGAGACGGGAGGAGGAGGTCGCCGTGGCGATGTCTCTGCGGCGATAAGACGACGATCGAGGGTCATTAACGTCTCACTGAAGCAACCGACCCCACACACAAAGACGCACACACAGAGACACACACACACAGAGATTAATTGTTTGTCTCTCTGTGTGCGCCTCTCTGTGTGCGTCTCTGTGAGCGTGTGTGTGTCTGTGTGTGTGTGTGTCTCTCTGTGCGCCTGTGTGTGTCTCAGATCCATCTCGATTTCTCGGCAGGTGATTTGTTCCATAATTGAATCTTGTCGGAATTTAATACGTGTAATTTTTCACACTTTGAACGACTTCATCTGTTTTGTGTTGGAGACGCGGGTGGGGGGGTGGAGGGGAAGGACGAGAGGGGGAAAAAGGGGGGACAAGAGGGGGAGGACGACGACGACATGGGGGGGAGACAGAGGTGGAGTGGGGAGAAGGACAACAACGAGAGGGGGAGAAAGGGGGGACGAGACGGAGGGAGGGTGGAAGAGGAGGATGAAGGATAAAGTGAGAGATGGGGAGACAAAGAGGGGGAGGGGGGAGAGATGGGAGGACAGCAGTGTATGGGGGAGAAAGGGGGAGAGGGGTGTGGGAGGACAGGGCCAGAGTGGTGCAGAAAGGTCTCAGATTAATGAGACTTTGATTCAAACACGACTGCAGCTATGAAGTCCTTCACAAACACATGTCCTTAGCTGAAAACACCGGCAAGTTTATTTGTATCGCACAAATACAACTTCTGGTCTTTCTCTGGTCTCTTTCTGGTCTCTCTCTGGTCTCTCTCTAGATTCTCTCTGGTCTCTCTCTCTGGTCTTTCTCTGGCCTTTCTCTGGTCTCTCTAGTCTCTCCCTGGTCCCTCTCTTGTCTCTCTCCTTGTCTCTCCTGGTCTCTCCTGACCTCCTAATGTCTAATGAAGTGTTGAAGCAGAAGATCCGTTCAGGTTCCTCTGACCTGGTTTCTCTTTCTTCAGCTGTGACCATCAGCACCTTGTTAAAGTCTCACCCACTTTCTGTTTCCAGAGCAACCACTCACATGTGACCCACAGGGAGAGGGCTCTAACATAAACACACACACACACACACACACACACACACACACACACACAGAGACATTACTCATCAGAATGACAGCAGAACGAGCTGTGGAGCTGTGTTTGAGTGAGTGAAGCTCTCACCTCAGAGTTTGGGCTGTTGCACGTTCTGGTCTTTCCTTTTGAAAGAGGTGTTTGTAGAAATTAAGTTTGAAACTGTTTCTATGACACCAGGAGGATGAGACGCTCTGGTCTCTCACTGGTCTCTCACTTGTCTCTCTCTCTCTGGTCTCTCTCTCTGATGGTTCTGTTGTGTTTTCCAGGGCATGTTGCTGAAGAAAAGTGGTAAATCTCTGAACAAAGAGTGGAAGAAAAAGTATGTGACTCTGTGTGACAACGGCCTGCTCACCTACCACCCCAGTCTGCACGTGAGTGTTTTTTCTAATCATCAACTTCACTGTTCTCTGTAATTCTAAACAACCACATTCAGAAAGACGACAGGGGGAACTAAAGCTAAAGACCTGGTGCAGATGTCGGTTGCTTTATTATATAAAATATTCTGCTATAAGTATTTAGTCAGCCACCATTTGTTCAAGTTCTCCTACTTAAAAAGTTGAGCAGGCCTGTAATTTCCATCAATTCAATTCAGTTTATTCTTGTAAAGTCCTAAATCACAACAGTGGTCATCTCAGAGGACTTAACAAAACCATTTAAATCACCAACACAGATCAGAGAATCAACAGTTCAGACACAAAAAATATAGAACACATTTGTATTGGTGTAGGGAGGGAGAGACCAATGTCCATACATGTTTTAGAATATTGAATGTTCTGGATCATCCCCTCAGTCCTTCTTGTTAGACACTAACTGTCCAACAGAGCCTGCTGCATCAGTGGGAAAACTGTCAAATCCAGTGGGACAATAGTGAGAAACCTCGAGGAGATCCACATTGAGAGAGGGATCCGCTCCACACAGACAGACGGGCTTATGATCCAGGACCTAAGCTACAGAACGAGGACCAAAGCCCCGTTTCCGCCGCAGGAACTTCGGGGTAATTTTCCAGGGCTAGCCCCATCGGTGCGTGTCTCCACTGCAGGAACCTTCCCCACAGGGCCATTTACAGGAACTTTTACAAACAGAATCCCTCCTTCATTCTAGGTACTCCGTTGGGCCCTGGTGGGACTTGAGGTTAACCCGGCCCTGATCGGCTAAAGATAGAGCAGGCTCTGACACCAGCAGAAAGCACCAAAACAACCAGCATTAAAAAACATCCAGCAGCATTAGCCCAGCAGCATTAGCCCAGCAGCATTAGCCCAGCAGCATTAGCCCAGCAGCATTAGCCCAGCAGCATTAGCCCAGCAGCATTAGCCCAGCAGCATTAGCCCAGCAGCATTAGCCCAGCAGCATTAGCCCAGCAGCATTAGCCCAGCAGCATTAACCCAAGAGCATTAACCCAGCAGCATTAGTCCAGCAGACACCACTGGAAACAGGGAACAGCAGCACAGCATTGATTCAGACGGGGTTTGAGGGTTTGTGGCATCGCGGCAAAATAAAAAGATATAGTAAGACATATTGGCCTCACTTCGAAGAACCGGGGATTCATCACTCCAAATTAAGCCGTGAACAGTAACAAACAAAAAAAGTGAAGCAGGACTATAAAAAACTCAAAGACCATAACAAAAAATTTCACTTATGCTGCAATCGAAACTCATGACGTCGCTGAGTGGTCCTACTGCAGTGGAGACACGGCCACTGAGAGGACCGAGGGAGAGGAAGGTTCTTGTAGAAGTTCCACCCTGCTCCTTTTAGGGCTATTCTGATGGGGTACTATTTGGCATTCAGCAAGGGCATTGAAGATGAATTGTGGCTGGGTCTTTCAGCACGATAATGATCCCAAACACACCGTCCGGGCAACAAAGGAGTGGCTTTGTAAGAAGCATTTCAAGGTCCTGAAATAGCTTAACCAGTCTCCAGATCTTAACCCCATAGGCCTTCAATTCCCTCCATCTTTGAAGATGGAGGGAGTTGAAAGTCCGTGTTGCCCAGCGACAGCCTCACAACGTCTGCATGGAGGAATGGGCCAAAATACCCACAACAACGTGTGAAACCCTTGTGACAGAGCTTAAAGTTTTAAAATGAACTTATTATTGACCAAATACTTGTTATTGACCAAAGACTTATTTTCCACCATAATTTGCAAATACATTTTTCAAAAATCAAACATTGTGAGTTTCTGGATTTTTCCCCATGCTGTCTGTCATAGTTGAGGGATACCTATGATAAAAATTATAGACCTGAAAACAGTGAAAAAATCCGCAGAGCTACGGTGCTCACTATAAGTGTCTTTTTTCTAGGCCAGTGGTTCTCAAGGAAGGGTACGCAGGGCTCCCTCTAGGAGTACGCCAAAGAATCACTGAAAATAAAAATTTACGTCAACATTGTTTTTCAATTTTTTTCTGTCCATCTGCGTCTGTGTATCATATCTGTCTGGGGTTTGGCTGTAGACAGTATTTTATTAAGCCAGCAGGTGGCAGCAGAGCTCTGTGGGTGTCTAGGTCAAAGATCACTGCCTGAGCACTCTGAGCAGGAGAGACAGAGGTGAAGCAGGCATGGAGTAATAGAGTCAGGGTCAGGCTACATTTGGAGGCAGTTTGAGCAGTAAATGTGTCTCCAGAGCTGACAGAGACCATGTGGAGGGTCAGAGCAGCAGACCATGTGGAGGGTCAGAGCAACAGACCAGCGGTGCACCCCAAAAAAGCCACAGAAAAGTGGACTATTGCTAAAACTATCACTGAGTCCACACCAGGAGCCAGCGGCAAAGTCCAGTTATGGTCACAGCGCTCGCCGGACTAAACAGAACGACACTCGGTAGATGTAACCACACAAGTACATGCACGCCCAAACACACAAAGACACACAACAGTTTTCTATTGCACTTATAGTATACGTAAGTATATTGTCTGTTCACTTTGATTTATTGTCATTTATTGTGTTTATCATCGTAATTTTGCTTATCTCTGATTTACCTGACATAAATATAGCGCCATCTAATGGATGAATACTGGCCATTCTATCTAGGATAGTTTTTCATGGGCTCTTCTTTCAATATGTACATTTTGAAATATTCGAGCAACACTTTGTGGATGTGGGTGTATGTGCCATAAAACATATTATTTTGCATCAAAAACACTTTCTCTTAACTCGTTGCTGTTTTCTAACGTGTAAGATCCTGGACATGTTTGAGGAGATGCTAAAGTTAAACTTTTAAAAGTTTTACAGTCCCTTTTCTGCAGGTTTTCTCAGCTTTTTGTCTAAGACTGGTGCTTTTTGTCACACTCCCTTCTTTTCGACTGGAGATCACAGGAGAACGCTAAAAACAAACTTCTTTTTGCTGCTGAAAGTAGACAGTCCTGTCTTTCAGACTCTGGTTTCATATCATTCATAGAACACAATATTCTGTGAGTCTTGAAAATCAGTGAAGTGATCAAAAAGGGCTGGCAGTCAATAAGAACCTCTTTTTCAAGGGTCCTGTACAAAAAATACATACAATTAGATAATAAAACAGTTACATACAGATTATAAAACATACAGTCACATACAATTTCATAAAATTACTGATAATAAAAACAGTTAAATTTCACTGAGGATGTGTCAAGTGCTCTCAATCTGGATCTGAAAGCATTCAATGAAATAAGTTCAGATAATTTCCAGTCTTTTTGCAACGTTCCATGTAGAAGGGGCAGCAAATACAAAAGCTTCTTTAGGAATAAAACCTCTGCCTTGTTTTTGATGAATACTTATGGTCCATTCAGACCGCAAACACTCAACCGCTGAAGCCCCGCTCACCAGACGCGCATTCTCTAGTTTTCAGACGCAGAGGACTTCACACCAGAACGTCCTGACGCGAGCCGGAAGTACCGAAAGTAGCCGGCCGGCTCTAATGCTAACAGAGCTATGCTAGCGGCTTCTTGTGTACAGATCTTCTCCAGTATGCAGCTTTGCAGCGTGTCTTTGCTCACAGACATTCCACGGGCTTTATACAATAGTAGTATGTGTTCACGGAGGTGCGCCATACGGTTTTTTGTATTATTAAACAGTATTTCCGCATCGGCGAACAAACACACATGACAACGCATTATTTACAAGCACACAGTCCCCCATTGTCAACCCTGGTTTAGTCCTGGTATAGCTCCTGTTTTGGCTGTTAACAGTATGTTCAGTCTGCTCGCTCAGACCACCAATGTCCCCGTGACCACTTTGCGGCTCTCTGATTGGTCGCTGCACAAACGTCCCGAGGAAAAGTTGAGCAAAGTTTATCTCCTGTGGGCGTCCATTTTCCACTCCTGCTCCTCCCCTTTCACTTTCCCGCCAAGTCCGTGCGGCTCTACTCAGCAGTCCCTAAGTGCGTGCCGGGAGGTCGGTGCGATTTGACGCTGCAACGCGCGTCACCATAGACTTTGCATTGAAAACCGACGCGACGCATGATCCGGTCTGAACGCGGCTTTAGGCTTATTCGAAACCTTCGAAAATTATGGACCTCCCTCATCTTTTTAAGTGGGAGAACTTGCACAATTGGTGGCTGACTAAATACGCTTTTTGCCCCACTGTACATTTCAATGGTCTCTTTGTGGTCTCTCTCTCGGTCTCTCTCTGGGTTTCTCTGGTCTCTCTCTGGTCTCTCTTTTGTCTCTTTCTTGTCTGTCTCTGTTCTCTCGCTGGTCTCTTTCTTTGGTCTCTCTCTGTCTCTGTGGTCTGGTTTGCCCGTTTGACACCAGTCTCTATATATTATATTGTGTTATGATAAATCTTTGAGAGCAAGGAGGCTTAAAACTGTAGTTACAGCAGGAGTAATGGGCCAGAGTTCCCCACACCTCTCCATAGTGAGTGTAGCAGGAGGAATGGGCTGGAGTTCCCCACACCTCTCCATAGTGAGTGCAGCAGGAGGAATGGGCTGGAGCTCCCCACACCTCTCCATAACTAGTGCAGCAGGAGGAATGGGCCAGACTTCCCTGCTCCTCTGCAGAGTGAGCTCAGCTGTGGTGTGTGTGTCTGCAGGCTGTCTGACGCTTTGATGGTAATGGTTAGCGGAGCTGTCTCCTGTGGTTAGCTTCACGGCTGTCTCTCGTTGTTAGCTCTAATCTCTATAATGACTCATTTACTGCCGTTAATATGGAACAGCCTCATTTCCATGGCCTCTGCTATAGATGTGGCCCCAAGGTTAAAAGCTGGGGTCTGTAACTCTAGTCTGTCTTTTGTGTGAGAAAGATCCCTGAGAGTCAGTATCTGCCTCTTTGGGCTGATTGGTTGAGTGAGGGTGGTCCTCTTTGATCTAAAGATGTGACATCACAAATACATTATGTGAAACTAGTCCTAATTCTATGTGTTTGAGTGAGAGCTCTGTGAGATGAAGTTTCATAATCTCTACACC